TATGTCAAAAAACACTGCGCTTATGTGCCGGCTTGCTTTAAATCCCATACGAATCGCAATGTCAAGAACTAAAAGATTGTCTACTGTGCTGCGATTCTTTCTAAAACCACATTGGGCGGTTGTAAAAACGTCGTGATGTTCTAAAAACCAAGTTAAACGGACATTAACCATCTTTTCCATCAACTTAGAGAGCAATGAAGTGAGAGAAATAGGCCTATAGTGTAAAGGATCTAGTCCACTTTACCCGGTTTCAAAAAAGGAACGACTACAGCTTTTCGCCAAGAGGCTGGAAAGTCACCACTGGCCCAAAGCGCATTAAATACTGCTAAAAGAGCGCGAAGCACGCAAGGCGACAAATGCTTGAGCATGTCGTTGCGCACAGTGTCCGGACCTTCTGACACGCTGCGAAGCTTGGCAATCGCCCATTCCAACTCGACCAGGGTGAATGGATCATTATAAGAATGTAGCTCACTCGTTGAAAAATCCACGGTGGATTGCTCACATTGCGCTCGGTGCCGCACAAACTGTGGGTTAGTGTTGCCACCTTCGCTGCGGTAGGCTAGCGCCCGGGCAATCTCGTTCGCAAGTTCCAACGGGCGCGTCACGGCCTGTCCGCTCACACATAGTACCGGAAGAACCATGGATGTAAACTGCCCAGATATGCGTTCAATTCGAGACCAAACCTGCGATGTTTGCCTGGACCGGTTCAACGTACTCACGTAAGCATGCCAGGAAGCACGCTTCGCCTCCCTTACGGTGCGCCGAGCAAAAGCCCTCGCTTTCTTAAAGGCTATGAGGTTTTCTGTACTGCTCCTGGCGTCAAAAGCCCGAAACGCACGTTTACGCGCCCGGATGGCGCTCCGACACTCCTCCGTCCACCACGGAACAGGAGTACGTCGGGGAGCGCCAGACGTGCGTGGATGCAACTATTGGCACACTCTAAAAGTCTGTGAGCAAAAACCTTAATAGAGGGTACCGTCCTCATAGCCTCAGTTACGAACGGTTCGTCAAGCCGGGTCTCAAATTCGCACCAGTCCGCTTTCTTAAAATTCCAGCGTTGTGGCCTAACACCCAACGCTCCACCTCTCTTAAACCGGACCCACACTGGGAAGTGGTCGCTTCCCATGGGGTCATCTCCAACACTCCACTCGAGGTGTTGGACGAGGGGACTGGAGAGGCTTAAGTCTAGCGCTGACGTCTGACCGGATGGCATTGTAAAATGTGTACGGGTTCCTGTGTTTAAAATACATAAGGAAGCACCGTGGATAAAATTCTCACACAACCTCCCACGAGCATTGGTGACGTCACACCCCATACGGTGTGATGCGCATTAAAATCGCCTAGAAAAAGAAGTGGAGGTAGTTCAGCCAGCAGACATCTAAGGTGCGCCAACGGAAAAACAATGCCTGGTGGAAGGTAAAGTGAACAAACAGTGATGTGACGATGATTGAAATAAAGCCGCGCGGCCACAGCCTGAAGTGTGGACCGCAAGCTTAGCCTCCTCGCTGGCACGCTATGATGAACTGCCAGGAGGACGCCACCGTGAGCAATACTCTCCGTCACCACGTCGTTGCGAAACATCGCATATCCTTTCAAGGAACATAAATTTTTGGAGTCGCCGTCGTCCAACCGTCACCCGCTGGTGATCCGGCGCGCATCGAGGAGGCCAGCGATGCGGCGTCCACCGACTGGTCGATCGGCGGAGAGGGAGCTCGGGGTGCCGACTGGGAGTCGGGCGTTCGGACCGAGGGAGCAACCGACAGGCCAAACGACCTCAGAAATGCCATGAACTGAACGGCCGTCATGTACTCGATGGCATTACTTTGTGGTAAAGAAGTTTTCACTTTTGACGCATACGATATTTTGGGGTGGCTGTCGTTGAAAAGTTCACGAGCTTCACGAAAAGAGACATTTCTAGAGGTTTTCATCGATATAATCTCTTTTTCTTTCGCGTAGGCCGGACATGTACGGTCGTACGTCGTGTGTGGGATTTGGTCCTTGCCGCAGTTCACGCAATGGGGTTCAGCAGAGGTGCAAACTTCGCTCGTGTGCTCGAATGACGCACATTGATCATACGCTGGGCGGTTGCGACAGTGGAGCTTGGTATGGCCGAATCGCTGGCACTGGTAGCACCGCATGGGGTTAGGCACAAACGGGCGAACCTTCACTCGAGCGTATCCAACATGTATCTCGGCAAGCAAACCGGTGGAACCAAAAGTCAGAATGAGGTTGTTGGTGGGAAGCAGCTCTCCTCCCCGTCTGACGAGAATCCTGCAAGCGCTCGTCACACCAAACCCTGAGAGCTCCTCGACTATCTCGTCCTCGGCGACGTCACGAAGATCGAAACAAATGACTACGCCCCTGGATGAATTTTTGGTTTTATGTGGTGTTCCTGATATTGACAAGGTCTTTTCATGCTTGCCAGTCTCATCCCGAACAGTAGACGTAAATTCCTTGGCTGCCATGGCCCTGCTTGCCTCCAGACCACTAGCGAACTCTACTTCTATTTTCCCATCCCGGAGCTTGTCACATCTGGTGATTTTCCCAAACCTGTCGCAGCCGTTCCGCCTCTGAAACGGTGAGAGGGAAGCCAGTTTAATCTCTTCACTACCGAAGATCAGGATCCGTGGACCGGGGGGCGCAGATTCCTCTCTGCACCCTGGGGCTATCGAGGTCCGCTCCCCTTTAGGAGGACGGGTGTTTTTAGAGGTAGAGGATGCCATGCAAAAAGAGGTTTTCATTTCGGCACCGGGGCTCCCCACCCATCTCGGAACCCAACTGGGGGACGCCCAACACTCCCTCGGGAGGTGGTCACCGTCAGGGCTGCCCCGGTGCTATACAGGGCGAACGACGCCTCCCACACGGCCAGGTGTAACCGGGGAGACCCCTCCCCGTCCTGACCGTGGTTCAGCGCCGCCGCCCCTTGACCCCTTAAGCCGCTGCGCGCGGCCAGGCGCCCCAAGCGGAGACCCGCAAGGAGCACCCAACCGCAACGCGAGCGACAAGCCGTTAGACCCGTGTGGGGCCCCACGGGCCCCCCGCGCCCCCGGATATCCTGGCCAAAGTGGAGTGTTGGGACGCGCCGTGACTGACCCGCACGACGCACCCCTCAGCCACCACCATCCGATCAACCCGGGGACGAGGGTGAGGGGCACGGCGACCCCGATAAAACGAGGATCAGGAGTGATGAGTGGGCCGGATGCAGGAAAGTGGGTAATGGGGAGGGAGCGGGCGGGACAAGCAGTGGGAGCTCACGTACCGGCAGGGTCGCTACGCCCTGAGAGGAACAGCTTGCGCTGTCCACCCGTTACCGGAGCTGGGACCCGAGGGGGCGCTAGTCCCCTACACCGGCCAGAGCCGGTGCCCCTGCGGGAAGTTGACGTAGGAAATGAAAGCGCCCGCGCGTTCTCCGAACGATGTGGTAGCAGCAATGCCATCCTACGGTTTACACGTCATCGGATCCGCTCCGGTTCCGCTCCGGTATACACGTCATCGGATCCGGTCGACTTCAGCACGACGGAGCAGTTGCCTTACAACCGACCTTTTGCAATGGCCGAACTAATTTCCGCGATCGGATCGTTGCGCAGCGTGGCAGAGGGTCCAGATCTAGTTCACAACGCCATGCTTAAGCAACTTCCCACTTCAGTAGTTGAGACCCTCTTAGCAGCCTACAACAAGCTCTGGGCGACAGGAGGTTTTCCGGAGTCTTGACGTGAGCCATACATTGTCCCTATGCTCAAGCCTGGTAAGAGTGCGGCTGACCCTGCCGACTATCGCCCTATCTCACTAACATAATGCATTTGTAAGTTGATGGAACGTATGGTAAATGTACGTTTGCCGTGGTTTTGGAACGGTACAACGTCTTCATGGTTGCTCAACATGGATTCAGAAAAAATCGCAGTACCATTGACCATCTTATGGCTCTCGACACGGACATGTTGGATACCGAGTCATGTGGGTATCGCAGGTAACGAGCGTGGTGACGCGGCCGCAAAACGGGCAGCGCGTGCACCTAGCACCCGTTCTTTACCCTTGCCGGCAAGGGACTTTTACCCTGCCATCGCGATCTTTGTAAAGGGGAAATGGCATCGCTGCTGGGACGGCATTGTAAGCAACAAGTTAAAGGTGATCAAGCCACAACTTGGTCCATGGCCGTCAAGCTCACGTAAGTTGAGACGCGAAGAAGTAACCCTCAGCAGATTACGAATTGGCCACACGCACTTAACACACAGCTACCTTTTATGCGGCGGAAAACGGCCTAAATGTCCTCGTTGTGATGCGCTACCCACGGTTCGCTACGTTATTCACTCTTGCCGACAGTTCAACGAAGAGCGGGCACTTTACTTTGGACGAGATGCGTCAGGTCTTGCCTTTTCAGACCTTATTGGTGACGATTCTCGCATGCTTGGCACCGGACAGCTGTTTTTATTTTTGAGAAGCGTAAGATTCACAGTCATTTATACACCTCGGTAAGCACTTAGCTGTTATGGACGCAAAATGGCCCCAGAAGTCGGCGCGCCCTAAGACCCCCCTAATCATCATCAGCTGAGCTACATACACACAAAGATGTGCGGACTTTTTCGTGTAGACAATTTCAAGGTCACCCAGGCATCTATGAACCCATTATAAAGTCGGGGCAATAGAACGCAAAGTCATTGTAAAGTCATTCACACTCGGTCATTTCGTGGTGAAGGACGCATTCAATGGTGAACGTTTCACAGCGACCGGTGTGCTGGGTTCTGAGATCTGCTGTGCTTTTGCATGCGAAATTTTCCCTTTATGCTGTTTTTAAAATGTTTAACCCAAGTGAGGTCTGGATATTGCCGTTCTCTGACTTAACTTATCATGCTGAATCGGTTGGACAACGTTGCAAGGCGATTGGGCGAGCTGTTTCTGAGAAAGAGCATGTCTTTCTCATGTGCCAGTCTTTTAGACCCCAGCTCAAGACCTGCCTCCCGCGAAGGGACGTAACTTGCGCTAGGGTGACGGGCGCACCGAACGGCTTGGAATTGTTTGGGGTGGGCCATTGCTGTTGTGTTACGCCTGGGCCCAAGAGGCTATGCGCCCTAAACCAACAACAACAACAACAACAACATTGCTGTTGTGTTGGACGTCAGTGCGAGCATCGTGTCCCTGTATCGCATGCCTACGCTAACCGGTTAACAGGCGATGTAAAATTGCATATGGGACTTGCGACTATGGGAAGTCAAGTAATGACCAATTAACTCTCAGAAGTTTTGTACAAATGCATTTGGAACAGGCTGCACACCTTAGGCACTGTTCAAGTGAATCTAGAATTTTGCTGGTATGGGCATTGATTTTTCAATAGCATTTGCATGATTTTGCCATTGAGCAGATCTTATTTTTAAACCCCCAGAAGGGTCTTCATAATGGTTTGAGATTTAGAGCATGCTAACTACCTTGATTGCATGGTGCTCATAGAGGGGGATTAAGTACAGGGGTCTTATGCCTTTCCTGCCCAGGGCTCCTTCCCTGGATCCTCCCCTTGCTGCATGTATTGGTGTTAGGTCATGGCCAGAGGTCCAGTTAAATGTCGTGTGTAGGTAGAGGTGCAGCATACAAGCCATCTCACCAGCTGTTGCATTGTGGTCAGGTACCACAATGGTGTAAACAAATCACCAGAGTCTCATGCACCATTCCAGGCATGTTACTTTTTGGTAGCGTTGTATTAGTTTTGCCATATAAGATTTGCTAGGCCATCACAACTAATGCTACCTCAGATTACGGCTGCTCTTGTAAGTGGAGATATATTTATGCTGAAGCACTGATTTCCTGGCATCTAGAGAATTTGCATTATATTTAAAATCTTCTTTTCTGGCAATCTAGGTATTGTTCAATGTGTATGTAGCATCTGGCACCATATCTGTGTTTCTAGAGCTAGGATCAAGATGGCTTCAGTACAATGGCTTTGGGCCTGGCATTTGATAGTCGGCTGACAGAGCTATATGATGGATGCCATAGTTGAAATATAAGCTTATATGTTGACCAAATTGAGGGGCTGACTTTGCCAATCTATTCTTTAGTGCAGTAAGTAATCCTTCCTTTGATCCATCTAGGTAAATTTTCAAGAGCTATACAAGTATTTTGTCCACCCTGCACACTTTCACAACTACCATGCAGCGATGGCTGACTGGGTCTCAGGTGAAAGAGGTGATTTTATGCTTGATTTAGCCCAAGGTCTGTTAACAGGGATCTTCCCCACAGATGACAGTGGCATGCAGGTAATCAATAGCTGCCATCAGCTTTTGTTTAATGTTTTTTATCTATCAGCTATCTCAGCTAGTCCAGCCTTTAAATGCATTCACATTTTGTAGTGCCCTATTTTTAGGATTGATGAAAAAGCATTTCTTCATATCTATGGACCCTGACACTTTCAGCCTGAGGCAGGATCTCTAGGGTTCAGACATGGACAAGTTAAAGAAGGTTTTCAGTGGCAGTGAGGCAAACAATGCTGATACAAGTGATGCAGAGTCGGGAGGAATCATTTCACAGGTTAGTGGGGTTTTGTGCTTTGATGAGTTTTGCTGTACTAGTGCCATACAGTGCCATCAGGTCTGTTATTAGAAGTTGATCAACCATTTATTGTGACTTTATAAGTTGTTGTGTTCAGTTAATGCTATTACAAGAGAAATAATTATAGGATATGAACCAGCAGGTGGATTTACATAGATATAAAATGCTTAGGCAGCCCACTTGGTTAGCCTTAAGGACTGTATGAATGTGAACCAGCCACTTGGGCAATGAAATCCCCAGACCATTCAACATCAGTAGATGTGAATGTTAAATTTGTTAAATTAAATTAAATTTGTTAAACTGAGAGCCTCTGCTAGAACATCAGGCCATCCTCACATGTGCATGATCTGAGATCTGTTTCTGCATGGGATGTGTGTGGGAATGTGCTGATGCATAATATTGGTCTTTTCAGTTTGTGGATACATCCACTTTAAGTTGGAGCACTAGAGTAAAAGGATTTGTCATTTGTTTTGTTGCTGGCGTGGTTTGCTCCATGCTGGGTTGTGTCTTCTTTTGGTTGAAGCATGGCATTGTTATATTTTGCATATTTTACACACTTGGAAACATCGTAGCCTTGATGAGGTGAGATGTGTTTGACATTTCTGTTTGTTTGGTGGACATTTTGTCATTGCATGCCAAACAGTCACTAGTGATTTACTTGCCTTTGTTTTGAGATAATAAGCCATTATTTTGAGGCATTTTTAAAGTATTTGTTTTCATCAGCACTCTTGATTTGTTTACTTCCTGTGGTCTCTGGTACTTCCTTCCTTTCAACTCACTCATCATGACTGTGCTCTGATTGCTGGTGATGTATGGGGGTTTTTGCAGCACCTGCTTCCTGATGGGTCCCATGAGACAGCTGAAGAACATGTTTGCCAAGACACGCATGGTCGCCACAGTGGTGATGCTGCTTTCGATTTTGCTGACCATTGTAGCAGCCATTGTGAGTAGCCGGGATCGCAGCTGGTGCCGATGGTTGGGGTGGGCTTACACTAGCAGCCACTGTGAGTAGCCGGGATGGCAGCTGGTGCTGATGGTCGGGGTATCTTACACTAGCAGCCGCAGTGAGTAGCCAGGATGACAGCTGGTGCCAATGGTTGGGGTGGGCTTACACTGGGAGCCGTTGTGAGTAGCCGGGATGGCAGCTGGTGCCGATGGTTGTGGTGGGCTTACACTAGCAGTCACGCTCGAGGAGCCCATCCGCATGTGGTGCGTTGTGGATGGCCTAATGGGGTGCATTACCTTTCCAGGTTTTCTGTTTTTACATCTGTATAGTTTTGCCTGAAGTGCATGGTGAATTTGAATAAACAAAAGTGCATGCTCATGCTGGGCGTATTTGTTTCGGTGATGGCATTGTTGCATGCTGCATGTCTGTCCATCCCATGTATATCTAGCTTTTCCGTGATCAAAATGATTCGCTCGCTGATTGGTTTGACGTCTTTCAACAGCTGGATTGGAAGGCACTGGTGCTGCTGTTCTGCATAATCGAGTTTCTGGCGATGACGTGGTACTCGATATCGTATATTCCGTACGCCCGCGACGCCTGCATCAAGTGGTTCGAGTCCTGCCTGGGCTAGAAGACCCACACCGTATTTGCGAAAGTGAAACCTGGGTATGGTAATGTTATCAGGTAACCTTAAATGGCAACCAGATTAATTTTCTTGAGGTGCTTCTTTTGAAGATTTTTGTGTTTTGCGATACAATTACGGTATAAATCCAGATTATAGAATGAGATAGCTCGTTGAATATCAACAAATGCGAAGATTCGCTTTACATATCCTACACCTTTTAGGAAGAAAGTTTGTCAAATCAATGTAAGCCCGTATTTTGTAGTGGCGCTCCAAGTGCGGCGTAGATATACGTAGTTGCTGCAGCTTCCTTTGGATCGACCCTTTGCGAAGGGTATAGCGGTGTTCTTTTTTAGCATAAAGGCAGAGGCTAAACGCGCGGTCTTTTTTAGCTCCCTGCGGAAATTTGTTGAGAAGTTGTGGTCTTGATTCGTCTAAAAATGAAACGCAATTTCCTATCTGGTTGACAAGCCTGCCGCCGCTTCAGAATTGAGAAAACAACGTTTCGGTCCCGAGAGTGTACGTGCTATTTTCGGATGACGTGTGCAGTAGGTGGGGTTGCCAGAACGCCGGGGCTGCTGTTTTTCTCGTGTATGCACGAAGCTGTCATATAAGGCTATCCTACCAACGCGCAGATGACGTATCGATAGGCTTCTCTCCTTGTGTAGAATTTCCATGTCTGGGTCATGTTTGTATCTCCCAAGCGTGTAACGTGAACGAGACTTCAGCAAGCGCAACATGAGCCGTCACGCGGCTCATGGTGGACTGCCGCGAAACTGGGGAAAATCCTGCGTTTGTTATTGGGTAAACGTTGCTTGTTATTGCGATGCTGTGGATTTGCTTTTTCGTCGTGCTCATGCTTACGTGGCTGTAGTGCTGCTGTTTTCGTCACCATAAAGTGTGCCACAGTACTCGGCCACCGGCCGTGTGACGTCCGTCAAGCATTGGTGCCGTCACTGCGCTGAATTGCCGGCGTCTGTGAATTGGGGACTGACTTTGCCAAAGATTGTCATCGGTTGTCGAGAAAATACATATCCGTCTTGTGTATTCGATCGCTGCGCTTTCGTAGGGCACCGATGGCGGCGGGGGGGGGGGAAGGCGGGGGGGGGGGGGGGAGGGGGGGGGGGACAGTAGTACGACGAAGCTCGCCGGCGTGCATCGCGAAGGGCTCGCTCGGTGGCGGCGTCTACGACTGCGATATGTCGTACACCGCTGGCGACACCTGAGCCGCCCGCTCCAGGCAGCGGTGGTCGACACTGCGAGCCCCCGCTGGCGTCACCTGAGTCGCCCGCTCCTGGCAGCGGTGGTCGACACTGCGAGCCCCGCTGGCTTCACCTGAGCCGCCCGCTCCTGGCAGCGGTGCGAGCCCCACTGGCGTCACCTGAGTCGCCCGCTCCTGGCAGCGGTGGTCGACACTGCGAGCCCCGCTGGCTTCACCTGAGCCGCCCGTTCCTGGCAGCGGTGCGAGCCCCACTGGCGTCACCTGAGTCGCCCGCTCCTGGCAGCGCTGGTCAACACTGCGAGCCCCACTGGCGTCACCTGAGCCGCCCGCTCCGGGCAGCGGTGGTCGACACTAGGTGCCCCGCTGGCTTCACCTGAGCCACCTGCTCCGGGCAGCGGTGGTCGACACTGCGAGCCCCGCTGGCTTCACCTGAGCCGCCCGTTCCTGGCAGCGGTGCGAGCCCCGCTGGCGTCACCTGAGCCGCTCGCTCCGGACAGCGGTGGTCGACACTGGGTGCCCCGCTGGCGTCGCCGTGCGGCCTGCCGCTCCTCAGTCTTCGGCGAGCGGTTCATGACTGGCTTTGCAGTCTTGGTCGAAAGCATTGTCGTTGGGAATGCCTCTGACTGAGAATATTGGTATCCAGGGAATACGCAGTGGCCGCAGACGGCATGGAGTCGGATCGGCACGTGGCGCGACGTGTGGTGGGTTTAGGCGGGCCTGTGTGAACCTTGGGTGGGCCGGTGTGAAATCAGTCAGCCCAGGACGTGCGCCCGGTCTTGGTTCTAAATTGATGTTAAGCGAAGCCTGGCGCCGCTGCCAGAAAACTAGCCGAGTGTGTTGATTGTTTCTCGTCTGAAGTGCGACGTGATGTTCTACATAATAGTAATGAGCATTGCACTGCACTGCACTCTCGATGTGCGCGATGGCGTGGCCGAGGGCCGCGGCGCGGGGCGGGCTGGACCGAACGGATCAAATGTAGCCGGAGACCAGCCATACGGGGCTCAAGACAATCAGAGGTGAAAGGACCGCAGCGCGGGGCTGGACAGACCGAACGGATCAAATGTAGCCGGGGACCAGCCATACGGGGCTCAAGACAATCAGAGGCGAAAGGACCGCAGCGCGGGGCTGGACAGACCGAACGGATCAAATGTAGCCGGGGACCAGCCATACGGGGCTCAAGACAATCAGAGGTGAAAGGACCGCAGCGCGGGGCTGGACAGACCGAACGGATCAAATGTAGCCGGGGACCAGCCATACGGGGCTCAAGACAATCAGAGGTGAAAGGACCGCAGCGCGGGGCTGGACAGACCGAACGGATCAAATGTAGCTGGAGACCAGCCATACGGGGCTCAAGACAATCAGAGGTGAAAGGACCGCAGTGCGGGGCTGGACAGACCGAACGGATCAAATGTAGCCGGGGACCAGCCATACGGGGCTCAAGACAATCAGAGGTGAAAGGACCGCAGTGCGGGGCTGGACAGACCAAACGGATCAAATGCAGCCGGGGACCAGCCATACGGGGCTCGAGACAATCAGAGGCGAAAGCGGCCATGGCTTAAACGTTTGCTAGGGTTGTGAATGAGAATGGATTTCCTGAATTTTGTATCCTGAGGTGTCATCCAGCGCAGCACCGACACTTCCCAGTTACCATCTCAGTGGTCATGAACCTGGACAGCGACACACACTTCCGTAGATGAGAAAATATATTATCCCCATATCACAAGGTGTTCTCGTGCATCACAAGCGACAAATAAATGACAACAGACCAGACAACCCCGTCGACAACAATGCGCTTTGGCCCGGGTCGCAAAATACCATTGTTTGGCTACACGGAAAGGTCACGGCTCCTGGCAGCGCCAGCGAACCCCACAGCACACGTTGCACACCGATGGAAGGCGTGCCCCCGCCCACGAATACAGGAGGGCGCCAGACGGCGACAGGGCGAGAGCAGATACAGCCAGGAGAAAACCACCAACCAATCGGGGCGAGATAAACAAGCAACACTTGGTCGCAAACGTCACTATGACTACCTGGGTAAATAACGACCACACCCGATGTCCTCAACTTGGTTATTGTTCAGCACCAGACTATGCGGATAACTAATGCAGGTGAGACTAGCGAGGTCGCATACAGCCGCCAAAACACCGTTGTGCGCGGCGGGTGCGCCGATTCGCCGTGGCACTACAGGCGTCGCCTGGAGTCCACCCTTTGAGACGCATGGCATGACGGTCAACCCTGCACGGCGCGCGTGGACACGGCAGGCGAAAATCAAACGGCACCCCTGACTAGAACGGCCAACCCATACGGAAGGTGGCCGGTGCCCTCCGCCCGGGCTCGCCCGCGCGCTGGCGGCGGCGCTCGCACACGTGTTGGAGGGCAGACAACAGGAAGCCGAGGGCAGATCGGATGCCGCCGAGCTGCTGGCGGTCAGTTCAAACTCACGTCAAGCGGATCGAGCGGCGGAACGGCCCGGCTCGCGCGGCCGACGTCGCACGGCGTCATCGCGACGCACAGATTGTCGAAACAACAGCGGAACGAAGCGGCGGCCGCCCGGTCACGGCACGCCGAGAAGACGACGCGGGTCACCCCGGTGTCCCCCACTCACCGGCGTGCGACGGGCCCGGCAAACTGGCGCCGCAGGAAGTGCACGGACCGTACCCGGGCCCGCCTCGCACAAAGCACACTCAGAGCAATATTGTGAGCCGATCGAGCGACATGTATGGAATAATACGCACCACTGCTTGCTCCCTATGACCTGCGCCGCGGTCACCGCTCGACACTTACGACCGGCCATTTCGGCTTCGGTATTCTCCACGGCCGCCATGATAGCGGCTCCACGCACTGCCCGGACCCGGCCGCGCCGCACCCCGACACTCGCTGACGTCCCGCGTCCTGGGGCAGGGCCGCGCGCGCCTACTTCTGCTCTCCGAGCGGCTCGAGGAAGTCGGCGGCGAGCACCGCCTCCACCGCGCGCACAGTCTCGGCCTCGGCGGCGGCGGGCCGGCCGCGGCGCGCGCCGCCCGGCCGCAGCTCGGCCGAGCCGGCCGCGCAGTGACGGCCGCAGCCCAGCGCCACGAAGAACGGGAACAGGTCGGCCGGCGTGCGCACGGTCGTCCTGTGCAGCAGCGGCTGGTGCGGCTCGGCCTGCAGCGGCGCCGGCGGCGAGCCACGGCACTGCGGTAGCGGGCGGCGCCGGTTACGCGCCGGCCCCCGTCGGCCAACTGTCGCCGGTCACACACCCCGTGGCACATTGGGGACTCGTTCAACACGGATGGAATCAAATGGACGTTGAACATCTTGTACGGGGAATATCTGACAGGCGCGGTCCTGCGGATACGCGCACCTATCCCGTCGGCGACCAGCACAGTTGACGTAACCCCAGAGACATGCCAGTCGGGCAATACCGCTGGAGCCGCACATACCGGTATGTACCGATTCGTATTCACACGTTTGTGGCCATACCTACACAAGAATACTCCAACCCATGCGCTGCAATAACTACGTCTAAACCACCCGGCACTCGGAATGACTGCGATCTATCACAGTTGTGTCCTCCGGCACCATGGGGATCGACCAGTCAGTCGCCGTTACCTTGCGCCAAGGCCGGGGTCCACGCTGGTCCGAGGCCTGTTTGACCCGACACCCAGCGCGACCAGCGGCGCCTACCTTGTCCAGCACGAGGTGGGTGAGCCGGGTCACGTGCGGCACGAAGTCGCGCGGCAGCAGCTGGTCCTTGGCCTCGGAGGCGGCCGGCGCTGGCTGCTGGCCGCCGGAGCCGACGAACGCCCACCGGTACCTGGGCCAGCGGCACGCACACGGGCCGTCAGCGCCGGCGCCGGGCACACGGCCGGCCGACCGGCCCGCCCGCCGGCCGCCGCCCACGCCACACCAAGCACCAGCATTAGCTCTCGGCCAGCTCCAGCGGAACCATCACGAGACAGGTGAGCATCTGGCAACTCGACGAAACCGGGCCGCGCAGACCGCGGCCCCTCACTTCGCGGTTACAAGGGAAAGGGAGATACCACAATCATCCCGCCAGCTCAGCAACGCTGCCATTATCGTCCTGTCCACACATAAGTACGCTTCCCCGGCAACCCCGTGGCTACACCCCGGCTGCCCCCAGGCTGTGACCACTGTGCCTGGTGACCTCAGGTCAGGCTGGCCCCGGATTGTGGCCACTGCGCCTGGCGACCTCAGGTGAGACTGACCCCGAGCTGTGGCTACTGTACCTGGTGACCTCAGGTCAGGCTGGCCCCTGATTGTGGCCACTGCGCCCGGCGACCTCAGGTCAGGCTGGCCCTGGATTGTGGCCACAGTGCCTGGTGACCTCAGGTCAGGCTGGCCCCTGACTGTGGCCACTGTACCTGGTGACCTCCGGTCAGGCTGGCCCCAGGCTATGGCCACTGTGCCTGGTAACCTCAGATCAGGCTGCCCCGACTGTGACCACTGTGCCTGGTGACCTCAGGTCAGGCTGGCTCAGGATTGTGCCCAGTGCCTGGTGACCTCAGGTCACGCTGCTCCCGGCCGCGGCGACACTCACATCTGGAACTGCGGTAACCGATGCGCCGGCAGCGTCAGGCACATGTCGAGCAGCTTGCAGGCCTCCAGGTGCAGCTGCAGCCAGCCCGGGTGACTGTTGGCCGCCAGACCGTTGGTGCTGTTCAGCACCCACGACGAGTCAAGCGCCGACATACGCTTGATGTGCTGACTGTCGACAGGCACGCACCGTGGGATCGTACAGACCTCTCCGCGTCCACGGGCGAGGAGGGCCGGAGGGAGAGGGGGGGGGGGGGGGGGCAGTGTAGCGAGCGACATCGGACGGGGCGTGCTGGGGGGGCGAACGGAACGCGGACGGCGACCTCCGACCCCGCCGGCGGACGGCAGTGAAAAGGCGCGGCACTGCTCCAACGCCTGTCCTGAGGTCACCACTGTGGATCTGACCATGGTGCCTCCACTGCGTCACCCACAACAGGATCACACATGCTGCTGCGACACAAACCAAACTCGCAAGTTCAGATCTACTATTTCTGCACAACTTTGAATATGCCAACGCATCGCAAGCAGTCAAGTGAACGTTTGCGGAATGGGCCAGGCAAAACATAGAACACAGGCCAGCCAAGTTATACATCACTTAAGTCGGTCCCACATCCATCATGGAATCTGTGTCGAGTGGGTCTACATCAAGACGGCAAATTACCTGTCCTTCCTTTGTATTCAGCAGCAATAGAAAGAGACAAAGTTAATTGTTTGGCAGAAATCCCGACCGAAGAGTTGACTGCATGCTGCAGCCGAAACGCTCGTAAACCCAAATATCCCACATGATGTCAGGAGCACCGCAGCACATTGGCAGAGCCCGCCAAAAGACGGAGGGACGTAGCTAACGCCAGTAAATTTTGTACAATTTATTGCGAAGTTAACAAGAACGCCACACTAAGGCCATACCATATAAGCCAGAACAAGATCACCAATCAGGAAGGAAGTATCCGTACTCAAGCAAACGGTACGGGAGGGGGGGGGGGGGGAGGAGGTCATAACCAGCTGCTGCTTGTGTTCACGGGGATTTTGCTCCTCGGAGCATAATGCGTACGATCTCACAGCAATACACAATTGAACGAAATGATCGTCACCACCACGGTGAAACGATGCCGACCAAACACGCTCAGAAAGCGACCAACAAACCAGTTTAGTACTTGGCTTGCAAACGAGTGAACCGACCGGGCTCACACGATGGACACGTCATTTTCCGTGCATGACCATCGCATGACGACGTCCAGATCGCGCCGGTTACTCCTTACTGCACCACACAGTAGAGCCGCGGTGGAGCTGGCCAGCTCTTGGACGCCTCCCGCCGACAGAGACGCACCTGAACTCCTCGGTCTCCATGCTAAGCTGGTGCTCCATCTGCAGGAACACCTGCACCATCTCGGTGATGATGGACGGCCAGAGCGAGACCACGTGCCGCTGCGACATGCGCAGCAGCAGCACGCGGAAACAGAGCAGCACCGCCGACTGGATGGAGGGCGCCACCTGCGGCAGCCGCAGGCTCTCCGCCAGCTTCTCTGTGTGGCACGCCGCGGCAGGTCAGGTCAGGTCAGGTCAGGTATTGTAGGCCAGCTAGGTGACACTGGACGAGAACAAAGTACCAGTCTTAAGGCCACCCACTTCCTACACTTGTCCAAGACCGTCTCCTACGCATCGACTAAAAAGTTATCTCCCACTCATTGCAGACAGCGCCCAGCGCCAGTACGCAGCGGCACCATTGACAGAAGAGTTACTTAACGTTATTCAGCAGCAGTTTAAAAAAAAAAAAATATGCTGCTGGAAGCTAACCTCGGCAAGTTATCCCTACTATTCCAGGAAATTCAAAACCGGTCCAAACTGTGCCTCCCGAGGGCAGCTCGACGGCGCCGCAAGCCGCACCCTGGATCTGGGGCACATGTGACTATCGGTCTCCCCACCTACCCTGGATCTCGGGCAGATGCGGCTGGTACTGGTCCTCGTCTGAGCAGAACACCACGAACGCCAGCCGCTTCAGCAGCTGGGCGCGCAGCTCGTACTCGGCCTCGCGAGACGAGAACAGGTTGAGCGTGCCCGGCTGCGAGACCACCACGCGCGCTGGAACGCCACGCCGCGGTCCGGGCGCGTTAGGCGAGCCATCTCACACGGCGCGTCACACATCGCTACCAGCGGCATCCGCCAATCGCAACTGGCGACCACAGAAAGAACAGGATTCGCCGGAAGGGCATGAAACCATCGTTACAGAATACCGAAATCACCAAAGCACGAAAGGCATGGTGTTCATGGATAGTAAATACGTTAGGTAACTATCGTTTAGAGCCGAGCTAACACAGAGCCCTGACTCAAGAGGGCAGCATAAGTTATGTACGGCAGTGGCGGCACTGGATACGTGAGGCGTCGGAGGGTGATGTGCCACACCACTGGGCGGATCTTGCCAACGCCCTGCAGACGGCGGCTGGGACCCGATCCCCGCACTGACCGAGCAGCTCCTTGAATGTGGTCTTGTCGTGCGTCATCATGTTGTCGATGGTGGTGCGCCAGAAGGGCAGGCACTGCTCCTGCATGCTGAAGAAGGCCGGCTCGAGCAGCAGGTCGAAGGCCTCGCGGCGCCAGGCTCGGCGCGAGTACTGGTACTCGGAGAGGGCCGCCAGCAGCTGCGAGCACGCCAGGAACGAGGCGGCGTTCGCCCGGCTGGCGGCGCCGCCCCGAGAGCGGGTCACCACGAGGCACTGCACGGCCGGCGCGACAATCGGCCGCCCGACAGGGTGGCGGCCGGTGCCGACGTCACCGGTCTCGTCGGTAGGGATGCCTAAACACCGCGCTCATACACCCCATCCTCCGCGGCATTATCGACCGCGTGGCTGACTTTCTACACTTGCCACGGAAGCATCACTGGTTGCGGTCACTGGTGATCACTAGTACACTATAGCAGACATATTACTCGGCTCCTCAGTGTGTGTGGGGGGGGGGGGGGGGGGGCAAGCCGGGCGCCAGTGACGCCACTGCTGGCTCACCTGTGGTTCTTCAGGTAGGGTGTCACGTGACACATGACGCCATGAAGCAGCGGCAGCACGCGGTCCTTCTCGTCCGACTGGTACAGCACGTCCAGCAACGGCGCCAGAAGCTCGGCCAGGATCCGCAGCGCCTGCACGCTCCACTGCGCCTCCGGGGCGTGACCTGGCCGGGACCCACCGTCACAGACTGACCTGACCGGGACCCACCGTCACAGGCTGACCTGACCGGGACCCACCGTCACAGACTGACCTGACCTGACCGGAACCCACCGTCATAGACTGACCTGACCTGACCGGGACCCACCGTCACAGACTGAACTGACCGAGACCCACCGTCACAGACTGAACTGACCGGGACCCACCGTCACAGGCCGACCTGACCGGGACCCACCGTCACAGACTGACCTGACCGGGACCCACCGTCACAGACTGACCTGATCGGGACCCACCGTCACGGACTGACCTGACCTGATCGGGACCCACCGTCACAGACTGACCTGACCTGACCTGATCGGAACCCACCGTCACAGACTGACCTGACCGGGACCCATCGTCACAGACTGGGTGCTGCTGACGAAAATGTTCCTTGGGACTTTTGGGGGCGCTAAAATTTCAACGGCCATTGCACCCACGCCCTACCGGGTCTGGGTCCGATGCATTACGCCGTTATACACACAGCCGAGTACAGCTTGAAGCGAACGTATCACACAGCTGCATAAGCTGGCAAAACAGCACTGAGGAGAGTGGGATATCCATGAGTTCAGTATCTACGTCCAAGCTAATTATGGCAGGTTGCCACAAGAAGTCTAATACAGCCCTGCGCAGCACAGAATGTGGCGGTCACCACAGGAGCGCTGCGGGGCGACGGGGCGATCCTGGCGCGCCTCACCGTTGCTGGGCGGCTTGCCGGGCTCCGGGCTGGCGGCGTAGTCGCGGTCGGAGCCGCCGGGAGCGGTGCGCACCGCCAGGTTCCTCCTCAGCCAGGTGGTCTGCTCCAGGCAGGCGCCGGCCACGGCGCTGCACGCCTCCACCAGCTGCCGCGCACGCGCCCAGCCGTCACAGAGAGGGCCGGCGGCCGTGGGGGCGGAGACGGACGGCCGGGGTAGCCCAGGCAACCGTGGTACAGTTTGTGAAGCCACGGTGACAAAGAGAAGTGAAGCAATTCACAGAGGGATGTGGGCACAAAACACCGCGACGTAGCATCTTGGCCGTACCCACACATTATGAAGAGCCTTTACATCTTATCAAGTACGGCGCCACAGACATGTCAGAGCCTAATGCCTCCATGACCATTACCTGCACAGCAATAAAATACACAGCGCAACCCCGACCAGGCATTTCTCGATGGCAGGATTCATGCCCGCGACGGTGACAGGGCAGCCACCGCAGACACGCGCCACCCGGCAGCCCGCTCACGAGCCTCAGCCGGCCGGCCGCCTACCTTGGCAGCCACATCCTGCAGGTCGCGCTGGTCCTTCTTCTCCGGCAGCGGCGGCGCGCGCTGCACGTACTCGTTGAGCACAGCCAGCAGCAGGAACTGAGCGGGCGGCGCCAGCTGCGGCGCGTCGCGCAGCAGCTGCAGCAGCGACGCCCAGCACTCGGCCAGCAGCGGCGCCGCCACCGAGCGCAGGTAACACAGCAGGAACTGCAGCGCCGCCGTGGGTAGCGATGCCTTCTGGCGGCCGCGGCGCGGGACAACGACGTCAGCACGGCACGCTGGCAAGACGGCAGTGTTTGGCGCCACGACACCTCTCGGGTGAACAACCAATGGCCGACGGTACCGCCGCCTTGGTGCAGATCGCAACCTTTGACATCACACGACCGCAAAACCATAACAATCGTCACTGAAAGTAGAACGAACTGAAATAATACCAATGCATGAGAATTGAGCACGCGCTACCGGCGCACAGCTGAGGGGCTTTACGCGCCACAACTATCCCCCATATATCCGACATCACACAGCGGCTCACTGACGCCGACCTGCCTTGGCACGCGCCGCGTTACCCGGCTCTGGCTGCGCGCCGACGCCGTTGCCGGCTGGCGGTCGGCCGGGGTGCTCACGTGTGGCACGACGTTGGGCGGCTGGCGGACTACGGAGCGCACCGTCTGCACCAGGCTGTCCATGGGGATGACGCGTATCGACGACACCAGGTCCACCAGGATCAGCTGCGCCTCGCAGAACTCCGGGATACTCTACCGCACCGCCGGCGAGACGGTCACAACCGGCACACACAGGGCGTAGATCAGTCTATAACCGCCACGCCGACCCCGCACTATGTGGTGCATGGCCATACACCGGTCGCTGCGTACACACGGCAACGCGATGGCAGCGTTACAACACGCCCGGCGCGTCACACCGTGATCGAGATGAGGTGTAGCCGAGGCTGTGCGCCCGGGTGCGGTGTAGCCCAGACTGTGCGCCCGGGTGCGGCGTAGCCGAGGCTGTGCGCCCGGGTGCGGTGTAGCCCAGGCTGTGGGCCCGGGTGCGGTGTAGCCCAGACTGTGCGCCCGGGTGCGGTGTAGCCGAGGCTGTGCGCCCGGGTGCGGTGTAGCCCAGGCTGTGCGCACGGGTACGGTGTAGCCCAGACTGTGCGCCCGGGTGCGGTGTAGCCCAAGCTGTGCGCCCGGGTGCAGTGTAGCCCAGACTGTGCGCCCGGGTGCGGTGTAGCCCAGACTGTGCGCCCGGGTGCAGTGTAGCCGAGGCTGTGCGCCCCGGTGCGATGCAGCCGAGGCTGTGCGCCCGGGTGCGGTGTAGCCCAGGCTGTGCGCCCGGGTGCGGTGCAGCCGAGGCTGTGCGTCCGGGTGCGGTGTAGCCCAGACTGTGCGCCCGGGTGCGGTGTAGCCCAGGCTGTGCGCCCGGGTGCAGTGTAGCCGAGGCTGTGCGCCCGGGTGCGGTGCAGCCGAGGCTGTGCGCCCGGGTGTGGTGTAGCCGAGTCTGTGCGCCCGGGTGCAGTGTAGCTGAGGCTGTGCGTTCGGGTGCGGTGTAGCCGAGGCTGTGCGTCCGGGTGCGGTGTAGCCGAGTCTGTGCGCTCGGGTGCGGTGTAGCCGAGGCTGTGCGCCCGGGTGCGGTGTAGCCGAGGCTGTGCGCCCGGGTGCAGCGTAGCCGAGGCTGTGCGCCCCGGTGCGGTGTAGCCCAGGCTGTGCGCCCGGGTGCGGTGTAGCCGAGGCTGTGCGTCCGGGTGCGGTGTAGCCGAGGCTGTGCGCTCGGGTGCGGTGTAGCCGAGGCTGTGCGTTCGGGTGCGGTGCAGCCGAGGCTGTGCGTCCGGGTGCGGTGTAGCCGAGGCTGTGCGTCCGGGTGCGGTGTAGCCGAGGCTGTGCGTCCGGGTGCGGTGCAGCCGAGGCTGTGCGTCCGGGTGCGGTGTAGCCGAGGCTGTGCGCCCCGGTGCGGTGTAGCCGAGGCTGTGTGTCCGGGTGCGGTGTAGCCGAGGCTGTGCGTCCGGGTGCGGTGTAGCCGAGGCTGTGCGTCCAGGTGCGGTGTAGCCGAGGCTGTGCGTTCGGGTGCGGTGTAGCCGAGGCTGTGCGTCCGGGTGCGGTGTAGCCGAGGCTGTGCGCCCGGGTGCAGTGTAGCCGAGGCTGTGCGTTCGGGTGCGGTGTAGCCGAGGCTGTGCGTCCGGGTGCGGTGTAGCCGAGGCTGTGCGCACGGCTGCGGCGCTGACCTGTTTCTGCTGTCCGCGCAGTCGTCGCTCGTGCCAGGCGGCGGCCACGGCGGCCACGAAGCTGGCCGGGTGGTGGTGCGAGATTGGCGAGAGCAGCTCCAGCACCTGCTGCTTCACCACGCGAGGCACGCCCAGGATCCAGGAGCCAGACTCCCTGCGAGGGGACGGGGGACAGAGCGACGTTAAGGGACCAACGTGCGAGGCTGCCCAGTGACGGAGCGCGCCGCCAGGCTCGGCGCGCACACCGGACAGTGTCACCGCTCGGCCGACAGGACCAGCAGGCAGGACACGGCGCGTGATGGCCACGCGGCAGGAGGGCTTCGTGCACATGTGTTGACTGCGGTTGCGCATGGAGTACCTGCAGGTTTCTCACAGCAGCTGCAGAGCTACAGACTTTCAGGAGCCCATCACCTGCTGCAGACGTGGCAGGAGGGCGTGGCTGCGACCAGGTCAACAAGCCGGCTGACCTGAGCCTGGTATTGAACCGACCCCATCGTACTGACCCGACCTCACATGTTTGTCACCTAGGCGCCGCCGTACTGACCTGGCGTCGCCGTACTGACCCGGCGCCGCCGTACTGACCCGGCGCCGCCGTACTGACGCCGCGTCACCGTACCGACCTGGCGCCGCCGTACTGACTCGGCGTCGCCGTACCGACCTGGCGCCGCCGTACTGACTCGGCATCGCCGTACCGACCTGGCGCCGCCGTACTGACTCGGCATCGCCGTACCGACCTGGCGCCGCCGTACTGACTCAGCGTCGCCGTACTGACTCGGCGTCGCCGTACTGACCCGGCATCGCCGTACCGACCTGGCGCCGCCGTACCGACCCGGCACCGCCGCACTGACCTGGCGCCGTTGCCAGTGACGGCGTGCCAGAGCGCAGCCGTGCCCACCATGATGCGCGGCAGGCTGTTGAGCAGCAGTCGACGGGCGTTCAGCAGCGACTCGGTGGTCAGCTCGCGGCTCGCCTCGTCCTGCCGGCGCCGCCACAGACGCCGCGTCACCTCGAGGCCGGCGCCACCGGACGGCAGCGCCGTCCCGTGACCCGCAGCAGCAGGAGCTCCAGCGGCACAGTGAGGTCGCCAGTCAGTGCAGCACCACACGCCGACCCGCCTGGGCACGGCTGTGGGCACGCTCTCCGCCAACATGTACCACCACTGGCCCGCACTGACCGTGGCGAGACCCAGTGTTGTGAAAGTTACCTGGCATAATGCGCGTGGCTGTGATGATGCGTTCACACCTTGATGGTCACCAGGCTCTCACCGTCTGATGGGGTTTAAGAGCACTCCTAACGAGGGCCACACGTCGGCACACGAGTGAGCCCAGCTTGGAAAATGCACCAGCGGAGGGCGTCACCGCGGCGCCGGCCTCGAGCGGCCAGGGCCGGAGCAGCGGCACCAGCCCGGGCGGCGCGGCCGCGGCGTACGGACCTTCAGCGGCGCGGCCGTGGTGAACACGTGCAGCAGGTTGCTGAGCACTTGCGGCGCTGACGTGCCGGCCGAGTAGGTGTGCAGCGCGTCGGCAGCGGCCGCCGACTGCACGCTCGACGTCGCCTTCCCGGGCAGATGGCACGACAAACGCTCAGACGCGCGCCCACGCATGCAGCGCCCGCGGCCGCCCACCGGGCCACCCCAGCCGGCCCGTTAGTCATACGCCGTAACCCGTACTCGCTCGTGTTGGACTCCACTTCAGCGAGTTGGTTTGTGATTCGACCCGCAGAGAGGATTCATTTTCAACTTGGAATTTCGGAAGCCTGGACAATGCAAGCCCAACGCCAGCCCGACCATGCACAATTATCACGAGTATGGACGGATTCTAACCCCCCATTACAGCACCAATTGGTTTGAAGATCTTTGAGATCATGTACCAAATAGTGACATGTTTGGCTTAAAAAGACCAAAGGTATTATGAGTTCAAGTTTCATATTTATGCACAGTGTGAGCCCACAGTCAGACTAAGGTGGTCTGTTAATACCCCTGCTGGGGTACAAGTATCATACTTTTGTTCTGGTCCAACTCACTTAAGCTGCACGCGGAGTGGTGCAATCTTTACTCCAGTAAAACTCGACTGATTCAGCAGTAAATTCCGGTTGTACACAGACACACGGACGTGGTTAGTTCCGAGACACCGTACATGCTAGCATGATACCCGTACAAATGACAAAACAAGCAGAATTCCCCGCCGTGCCGGCGGCTCCAATACCAGTAATCCTCAGCCGTGCCGGCGGCTCCAATACCAGTAATCCTCAGCCGTGCCGGCGGCTCCAATACCAGTAATTCTCAGCCGTGCCGGCGGCTCCAATACCAGTAATCCTCAGCTGTGCCGGCGGCTCCAATACCAGTAATCCCCAGTCGTGCCGGCGGCTACAGTACCAGTTACCATTTCTCCCGCCTTGGCGCACCCTCAGCCGGTGTTAACAGACACGCCCGCCAGCCATTTGCCCACGCCCCTCCAGCCGGGGCGACCGCGGCCCTACAACTGAGCATGCCCGACCAGGCCCCCGGCCGGTAGTCCCACCTGCTGGCTGGAGTCGATCATGCAGAAGTGACAGATGACGGTCAGCGACTCCACCAGGTAGACCATGTGGTCAGGAGGCACGCAGGCGCCCGTCGTCAGCCTGAAACGGGGCGGCACTACCTGCCGTTAATCGCACACCGCACCGCGCTCCGCCCTGGCGCTGACGCGGCAGCAGGGGGCCGCCCGGCCCGACCGCGCACCGCACGTCTGTCGATGTCAGGCGGCCGCCTGGCCCGACCGCACACCGCACGTCTGTCGATGTCAGGGGGCCGCCCGGCCCGACCGCACACCGCACGTCTATCGACGTCCAGCGGACGCTCGGTCCGACCGCACACCGCACGTCTGTCCATATCAAGCGGCCGCTCGGTCTGACTGCACACTGCACGTCTGTCGACGTCCGGCGGCCGCTCGGTCCGACCGCACACCGCACGTCTGTCGATGTCAGGGGGCCGCCCGGCCCGACCGCACACCGCAAGTCTGTCGACGTCCGGCGGCCGCTCGGTCCGACCGCACACCGCACGTCTGTCGATGTCAGGGGGCCGCCCGGCCCGACCGCACACCGCACGTCTATGGACGTCCAGCGGACGCTCGGTCCGACCGCACACCGCACGTCTGTCCATATCAGGCGGCCGCTCGGTCTGACTGCACACCGCACGTCTATCGACGTCAGGCGGCCGCTCGGTCCGACCGCACACCACACGTCTATCGACGTCCGGCAGCCACTCGGTCCGACCGCACACCGCACATCTATCGACGTCAAGAGGCCGCCCGGTCCGACCGCACACCACACGAATGTTGACGCCGGCGCCACGTCACATACACGTCACATCACGTTTTTTTCTGGGTTCAGGAGGCCTGATTTATTATCAAATCACATTTCTTTAATCTGGAAGTGACCACTTCGCTGCAGACCAGCGTGCAGGCTGGCCTGACTAGCTGCAAGTGATGGCTTCGTCACTAGATCAGCGCGACACGGCAGCGGTAAACGGTAAAACCGTAAAACGTCGCTTCAATAAATTCGTACGTGCCGCGAACTTCTGAGGAGTTAACTCGTTCCAAAACTGCATGACCAGCACAAGTCCCGACTTACCCACCGCTCTGAAGATCGCACAGAGGTAGAGGCTGAGCTTGGCAAGCTGCCAGGTGAAAATAAAGTTCAGCAAGTAGTCTCTTGTCCACCGCAAGTGAGTGGTTCCAGGAGCACGACAGCGCATCATATTATGCGGTTAAGGACCCTCGGCCATTGATCCTGAGCCTGCCCCTGCGCCGGTGCGCGCTCATCCCGCGCTGACCTGTCCTCGGACTCGTAGAGGGCTGCCAGCTGCTCCACGTTCTGCACGACTTGAGTCACCACGGAGGTGACGATGTGTGGCAGCGGGCGGCGGATAAACGGCAGCGATGACGTCACCAACGACAGCCAATGGTGGTGCAGGTGGCGGGTGTGGTCCTGGAGCGCGACGACGACGACAGATGTTACTCGTTCTGTTCTACTGCATAACAGCAGCGACACAACTGACATCCAGATATAAACGGATTACAGCGTGCAAATTATCGATTAATACCAATAATACTCAGTGTACCAACTGCTTTCAACTCGCGCTCTCCGCCCATCACGATCTACTGATGGGGTTTACCTCCTCTGCAACTGTACCAATACATAAAATATGCATTCGTACCTACTGCACGCTTTGCTGTCAACGCATGTCGAATAAACAACGTGTCGCGGATAGTAAGCCCACTCCCGGATTTTCATTTCATTCTTCTCGCTGATCTGAGTGGGCAGGACAGTCACTTCCGTGACCGCCCCGCCGTCCACGCCCGGCCCACCTGCTTGAGGGCGCCTGTGATGGCGTTGAGCAGCATGGGCTGCGCCGAGATCGGGTGTCCCGGGTAGAACTTGGCCGCCTCGGAGGCGGGCGGCGAGGCGACGCGGCCGGCCGGCTGCGCCGCCGCCTCCACGTCCGTCTTCATCTGGTCCGTCTGGTCCTCGAGGATGAGCAGCGCCAGCACCAGCCTGCCGCCGGACACAGGCGCCAGCCGTCAGGGGACGCGACGCGACCGGAGACAGGTGTCGCAGCGATCAGTCCCGACGTCGGCTGCAGTTCGCGCCAGCGCGAGTTTCGCGCAAATACGGAGTGGTATCCGTTCACCACCCCGGGTTACGGAGTGGTGAGTGCTACTAGTTTCGTCGAAAGCGGTTACACATTGCTGTGTTCGCCTCGAACACGGCGATACTCGCCAATAGGAGGACGTCCTCACGGCACAACTTTCTGTTCGAGCAGCTCTGCAAGAGTACCGGAACGCACGACTACATCTAGCTCTTGCATCCAAACCGTTCAGGCCGTAAACCACCTAATTTTCTGTATTTCCGTATCGGGGAAGGACGTTTGTCTAAGTGCAGGATGCGAGACCGACGGCAGCCCACAGCCACCCTCGGTCACCTGATAAAATGAATCTGCAGAGGCCCCATCAGTCACCTAAAGAGCTGAATCTGCAGCGTCCCATCAGTCACCTGATGAACTGAATCTGCAGCGTCCTATCAGCCACCTGATGAGCTGAATCTGCAGCGTCCCATCAATCACCTGATGAGCTGAATCTGCAGCGTCCCATCAGTCCCCTGATGGGCTGAATCTGCAGCGTCCCATCAGTCACCTGATGAGCTGAATCTGCAGCGTCCCATCAATCACCTGATGGGCTGAATCTGCAGCGTCCCATCAGTCACCTGATGAGCTGAATCTGCAGCGTCCCATCAATCACCTGATGAGCTGAAGCTGCAGCGTCCCATCAGTCACCTGATGAGCTGAATCTGCAGCGTCCCATCAATCACCTGATGGGCTGAATCTGCAGACGTCCCATCAGTCACCTAAAGAGCTGAATCTGCAGCGTCCTATCAGTCACCTGATGAACTGAATCTGCAGCGTCCTATCAGTCACCTGATGAGCTGAACCTGCAGCGTCCCATCAATCACTTGATGAGCTGAATCTGCAGCGTCCCATCAGTCACCTGATGGGCTGAATCTGCAGCGTCCCATCAGTCACCTGATGGGCTGAATCTGCAGCGTCCCACCAATCACCTGATGGGCTGAATCTGCAGCGTCCCATCAATCACCTGATGGGCTGAATCTGCAGCGTCCCATCAGTCACGTGATGAGCTGAATCTGCAGCGTCCCATCAGTCACCTGATGGGTTGAATCTGCAGCGTCCCATCAGTCACCTGATGGGCTGAATCTGCAGCGTCCCATCAATCACCTGATGAGCTGAATCTGCATCATCCTATCAGCCACCTGATGAGCTGAATCTGCAGCGTCCCATCAGTCACCTGATGAGCTGAATCTGCAGCGTCTCGGTGAAGCTGAGAGACGCCGCCTGGCGGCCGGCCTCGGCGCCCTCAGTCGGCGCCGGCGGCCACACCTCGTTGAAGTCCATGATGTCCTCGGTGAGCGTGGTCTCCGCGCGGGGCCCGGCGCGCAGCGAGTGCACCGTCGACAGCAGACAGTTAAGTAGTGTCTTCTGTACCTGCACGGCACGCCGAGACGGACACCAGAAAGGTCAACAGCCAAGTCGGCGGCGCCACGGGAGCAACACCAAACAGCCGAGGGGCTCATGCAGCTGCAGGCGGTGTACCATCTGGACAAGGGCGCAGCGGGTTTGACAGCAGACATGGCAACAGGGCCTTTCTTGGCCGTCTTAAAGTAATCAGCTGCTACGAAATGTCAGGGGCGGGCTGCCCTCCGATCACACGGAATCCAGTATCAACGTTGGAGTCACCCAGCGGTTTGTTCACTTGATTCAGCAGAGTGCAGGGAACTACACAACACCATTCGCTGTAGCCTCGTTGGCCGTGGGCAGCGTGGTCTGCCAACAGCGCTTGGACCCGACAAAGGCGCACCGTCGCAGCGCGCCAGACACAACCAGCAGCCAAGAGAGAACGGCCAGAGCGGCGGACTGGGGGTCGCAGCGGACCCGTCAGTGGACCATGCGGACAGCGGCGGCGTCTCGGGTCGGCCTGGCGGCGTTCGAGCTCACCTTACAGCGCTGGAGAAGGTCGGCGAGGTAGGTGGCGAAGCCGCGACCGCTGGACCGCACCACCGTCACCAGCTCGGAGAACATGGAGGTCAGGATCTCGGCTGAGACTATTTGTACCTGGCACAAACGCACACGTCACGATGAGCAAATCACTAACAAAAAGCTAGCCAACTGTTTGCGGCAACCAGCTACATCAACCTGAATCAAAGCATTATGGAGACTGGCACTGAGTTGGCAAAAATGCTCGAGAAGCACAGGGAGCAAAACAGTTACTAAGCATCCCAAACGCACGAGGCTGGTGTTCCGTGCCGATGGCATAGCCCGGGCCTAGCGCCCTCTGACCTGTCTGTTGGCCTGCAGCTGCTCGGTGCTGACGGCCGACGCCTCCAGATTGGGGTAGTAGCTGCGAACGAACTGCACGCACTGCGACATGACCACTTCGAGCAGCATGGAGCTGCGGTAGGCGGTGAGCGCCTCCGGGTGCGGCTCGCCGCCGAACCGCCGGCCCTGCACCGAGCGCCGATGACACGACAGCAGCAGCTGGATCTGGCGGCGCGGCGGCGGCGGCGGGTCAGCCGCGGCACACGCCGACGACGGTCCAGCCGAGGCGACACAGGCCGCGGGGTTCTGCCCGCGAGCACGAGGACCGCTCACAGCGCTAGGTCACACGGGGATCACATCTGGCACGACACAATCGATCCCAACTGTTCAGAGGACACATCACTGCCAAACGACAGGTACTCCGGCGTCTCTCCCGGGCGGGTTTAAGGAATTCTCGTCCATCCTGTCTGTCGCCTGCGGTCGGTATGAGATTCCTCCCCTGGCCGTTCGGACCTGTTGCCCGCTGCGTTCGCTCTCGTCCTGTGGTTTTTGCCACCCGTCCGGCAACACAGGTCGCTCCCTGGTTAATCCTGTTGCCCCGGGCAGCCTCCACCGCTCACCTGGTGACCCCTGCAGCCCCGGGCAGCCCCCGCTGCTCACCTGGTGACTCCTGTTGCCCCGGACAACCCCCGCTACTCCCCTGGTGACTCCTGCTGTCCCAGGCAGCCCTTACTGCTCACCTGGTGACTCCTGTTGCCCCGGGCAGCCCCCGCTGCTCACCTGGTGATTCCTGTTGCCCCGGGCAGCCCCGCTGCCCACCTGGTGACTCGTTTTGCTCCGGGCAGCCCCCGCTGCTCACCTGGTGACTCCTGTTGCCGGCGGTCGGCGCGGAGGAGGAGCAGACGCTGGTGGTGGCCAAGCTGCACAGCGTCAGCCGACAGTCCGTCTCCATCACCGAACGGAGCGTCTGCAGCGCGTACAGGATCCGCCGCGAGTCGCACACCTGAACACCGAAGGCAAACACGGCCGCACGGTCAGCGAGGCTGACGCAGAGCGCCCCGGTGCTGCACTTACATACTGCCAGGCAAGCACTCGTACACACACCGAGTACGACAATGGTCTCAAAGATGACGGCTCATTGACGGCCGCGTACTGGGACGGTGCTGGTGTTCGCGTGAGAGCGCGCAATTTGCCGGTGCCGCGCAGTCAGCGCCGATTATCGGCTGGCAGCGCCCGGCGACAGCACGCAGAGGCCGTAAGTAATACATCAGCACGCCGAGGCCGTAAGTACATCCCTTGTGGCGCTCTGAGTTACGGCCGCAAGCGGGCGGGTTCGATCCTTTCAACAGCCGCGTTTCAGCTTCCCCGCTACAATGGGAGTGGCAGATCACAATGCCAATGACCAGAGTCGCTTCATGCACCGAGCAACAAGCCAGATCGCGGCGACCAGTGCGGTGCAGGCCCGTAACGAGGCAGAACGACCTATAGCGACGATCAGAACACGGAAAAATATTGCATACGCACATTAAAACCGGTCGCAATAGTTTGAGAAACGAAACACACTTTGCACACGTTGACAAGCAAATATCGACACCAGAGGCTAGTGACAGTCACGACCATCTTTGCAGCTCGACTCTGCCAAATGAGCCATAACAAATGTTCTGCGCAGTGTGCCCGAGTCGAGATTATACAGAGATTATGAGATTATGCAACATCTGAACGCATGCCACGCGACCCGTCTTTGTGGAACACGATACCTGACAATAGAGGAGCATGAAGGTATGCAGTGGGTGAATCAGCTTCTCTTGGCTTTGCTCCACGTCTTTCTTATCTGTCCATTTAGTTTCCTTGAGATTGCATTTATCGAGCGCGGCATCCACGATCTGGGGAAGGGAACGATAGAGTGGAAAAATAACGTGATCGTAATCATGAGAGTACTATCTACCCCATTTTCGACTAGCAGCTCTTACAGCACAACCACAACACAGACAAACAACGGACGTTGTTTAGATAGAAAGACGGCTTTGCCAGCAACATCTGCTATGTACAAAGCAGAATTACGTCGAAATCATTTAATTATGATAAAACCATCACAAACGTATGGAGACTGGGAAAATATGATTTATTCATGCAACTGACATTTTTGGCCAGCGCACACGATTCAAAATCACAACCCGAGCCCCTCCCCTGTCACGCCGTGCCCTACGCGTGGCGGACCACCCAAGCACCCACACCCGGGTCATGACGCTCCCGCAGACGTCACCCAGCGCTGCTGCCGGCCGTACCTCGCCGACGATGCCGGCTGCCACCGCCACGCTCTCCTCCTGGGCGGCGAACAGGCGTGACAGACCCTCGAACGGCGTCAGCGAGCCGGACTTGTCTGAGTCAGCGAGCTCGGGCCGGCCGGACAGCGCCGAGTCGGCCGAGTCGTGGCTGGCGCGCCGTTCGCCGACGAACCGGTGCACCGACGACAGGTCCAGATGGCGCGGCGCCGCCGGCTCTGCAGACTCGCCGTCGGAGTCGCCTGCTGCACCGCCCCCGGGGCACGAAGGCCGGGTCAGACGAGGCAGCCACGCCGGTGGACGGCACCGGTCACCAACCACCGGTCAAGAGAGGGGCGGCGCCGGTGGACGGCTCCGGTCGGGAGAGGGGCGGCGCCGCGGGCACCACCGGTCAAGAGAGCGGCGGCGCCGGCGGACGGCTCCGAGCGGGAAAGGGGCGGCGCCGCGGGCACCACCGGTCAAGAGAGGGGCGGCGCCGCGGACACCACCGGTCAAGAGGGGCGGCGCCGGCGGACGGCACCGGTCAGGAGAGGGGCTCCGGTGGACATACCAGTCGAGCGAGGGGGGGGGGGGGCGCCGACGCACGACCTCGGGTCGCAGCCACGGGCAGACGGACGGACGACAAGAGTGAGTCGAGAGTGTGCCAGTGCGTACAGGTTCCCCGAAATAGGTTTTAATCCAAAGACGTTACTTCGAAGAACGCAACACCAACTGCTTGAAGATTCCGATCTGCACACGTGGTACCAAAGATGACATTAGCTATAACAGACTATGAAACCGTTCTGTCAACGTGACGTCGACTAACCCGGCCGCCATCCCACGCCTGAGCGGCCCACGCCGGGCGGGCCAGCACCTGTGATCGGGTTGACGAACACCGAGATGGGCTGCAGGAGGGCACTGCTGAGTGCGTGCGGCCCGGGCAGCCGGACGGTGCCGGCGCGCGTCTGGGGCGCGCCGCCCGGCCGGCCCAGCGACGTCAGCGCCAGCAGCTTGCGGCCGCCCCCGGGCCGCCGCGCCGGCCGGCCCGGCGACGCCTCGTCCGACACGTGGTAGATGACGTTACCTGTACCCATCGGCCGACGGGGCACGCGTTAGAAGCGATTACGATGCGCAGATAGCGTTGGTATGGGAGGAAGACGGAATTCGTGGTCTAGATGGCCATCGGAGTTAGAGCCTTAGGGACGACCAACGAACATGAGCCAGACAGACAGCACAGAGACAATGCAAATCAATATGCTTATCAGGATAAAGGCATTGCAAAAATACCCAATGCCTCACGGGACGGCACACAAAAAGACTAAAAATTAGAACACAGACAGCAAAATTATTTTAAAAATTCATGCAACTAAGAAAAAATAGCAGAAACAAAACCGGCCGAGTGACAAAAGACACAAAAGCATGAAGGCAAAGCAAAGTACGGAGGGGGGGGGGGGGACCGGGGCAGCAGCCGTACCCTCAACGGAGCTGATGGCGTACACGCGGCCCAGGTCGTCAGCGTCGCCGGCGTCGGGCGGCTCAGCGCTGACGTTAATGTGCTGCACGCTGACGCGGGCCGTGCTGGGCGTCAGCAGCAGCAGCAGCAGCGGCTCCATGATCCTGCGGCGGCGCGCACCCACGCGTCAGGCTCGGTGCGGCGACGGCCGCCACGCAGCAGCCCAACACGGGGACGAGCCGGCTCCGAGCGGTCATCGGCCAGCGACACGGCAGCCGAACAAGCCGGCTCCGAGCGGTCATCAGCCAACGACACAGCAGCCGAACGAGCCGGCTCCGAGCGGTCGTCGGCCAGCGACACGGCAGCCGAACAAGCCGGCTCCGAGCGGTCATCAGCCAACGACACGGCAGCCGAACAAGCCGGCTCCGAGCGGTCATCAGCCAACGACACGGCAGCCGAACAAGCCGGCTCCGAGCGGTCGTCGGCCAGCGACACGGCAGCCAGCATCGCGCGCATCTCCCCGCACAGCGCTCTAGCGCCGCGAAGCTGCAGCCGAATCGGTGCCAAATCTTAACAATGCGGTTTATTGCTGCTATGACCTGTCGATGCAGGGAAACTCCTTCTAAGGTTTCATAATGCACTGCACATCTAAGGTCACTTAGCATCGACATCTCTCACGCCGAATGTCACGGGGGGGGGGGGGGGCAACGAAACTCCTCACCGGACGACGGGAGCCAGGTCCGAGCCTCTCAGCCTCGCACACACGACCAAGAGGACGCCCCCCCCCCCCTCCCCTTCTGCAACGAGTGGGGACACGCCAACACCACCGATCCACAGACTGCCGCCAGTACTTATGCTGTATGGATCGGATACAAAATGTTCAACACGCACAACCGTGTGGAAAGGAGTCACCAGTTCGTTGCATTCACACAAAACACGTCTTAAGTGACGCTAAACGTGCTAAGCGTGCCCACGTGAAGCTATTTTATTGTTATTCGTTGGTGTTTTCGCGCGCGTCGACTGCAGTGGTCATTTTGCGCCCAACCTACCTGAAGCTAAGCTGAACATACTAGACCTGTCTGAATCAACCATATTTACCCAGACGAAAACAAACCAAGAAATCGAATCGCGCCTCAGCGCGTCCCGTCCCGGCGCGGTCGGAGTGTGCGGGTGGTGGGCGCCCTGTCCCGGCGCGGTCGGAGTGTGCGGGTGGTGGGCGCCCCGTCCCCGTGCGGTCGAGGTGTGCGGGTGATGGGCGTCCCGTCCCGGCGCGGTCGGGGTGTGCGGGTGATGGGCGCCCCGTCCCGGTGCGGTCGGGTGTGCGGGCGGTGGGCGCACCTGGTGACGTCACCACGCTGGAGGGTGTGCGTCAGCCACGTGCGCGCCACAGAGTGGAGCGGCCCGCTGGGGTCGCGCAGGCTGTCCAGCATCAGCAGCAGGCAGCGGTCAAACGAGCGGCTGATGTGGCGGCGCGCCGACACCTCCCGGCTCAGGTGCCACACGATGGCAAACCGGCTGAACGCGTCCATCCTGCCGATGAGGTCAGGTCGCGTCAGGCCAGGGCACGGCACGGAAGGGCGGCAGAAAGCATGACAGGGCACGGGACGGCACGGCAAGGCATGACATGGCAGGGCAGGGCAGGGCAGGGCAGGGCAGGGCATGGCATGGCATGGCATGGCATGGCATGGCATGGCATGGCAGGGCAGGGCAGGGCAGGGCAGGGCAGGGCAGGGCATGGTATGGCATGGCATGGCATGACAGGGCAGGGCAAGGCACGGCAGGGCAGGGCAGGGCAGGGCAATGGCGACGGAGACCAGCACACGACTCTAGTGCCACATAATCAAGACCAGCTGAATATTTCAGTACGGTGAAAATGGGACTCGTTCGTGAGACAAGTGCTGCATGCTCGGATACAAATCACCAACGGAAATCGCTGCAGCGACCTAACATGGCCGAAGGTCATGAGATGCTCGCTCGACCCCATCTTAGGGCGTCTTTTTTGGGTCACTTTTTGGTGCTCATCTCCGTGTACCCCCCCCCCCCCCCCCCACACACCCCTGTGACCGACGAGGTCGCTCGCTCACCTGACGCTGAGGTCAGCATGAGTCATCTCGGCGGCCAGCTGGTTCTCCACCAGCTGCGCGGGCAGCAGGCTGAGCATCAGCTGCATGAGGTCGACGCAGGGCAGGTGAAGGTCGGGCCGGTCCGGCGACAGTAGCCTCCAGAGGCGCCGCGTCAGCAACTGCCCGACACGGCAGCGCCAGCCACCGTCAGCTCACCGTTTGCCATCGCCATAGCGGAAGCCATACGAACGGCGAACAACAGCACCGTTCAAGTCCATTGGGCGGAATCCAGGGCGCATGATTCAAACGAGGTGTGAGGGTCGAGCTCGACGACATAGAAAAGTGCGCGACCAGTTGGACACTAGATTAGAGACGACAGCTGCAGCAGAAACGTGCCAGACCTCACGCAAACATGCGATATCGACCGAGCGCGGCTAACGCACAAACGGCCCTGGTACGCACTGCCATGACGTAGTAAATGTGTCGGGGCAAAAACGTACACCGCAGCAGCGGCGCCCGTGCCAGATCCGTCCACAGGTGCGGCGGCGCAGCACGCCCACCTGCGTGACGACCGTGTCCTGGAGCAGGCAGCGGTGCTGCTGGACGGTGAGCAGGGGCCGCACGGCGGCGCTGGCGCCGGGCCGGCCGCCCACCGAGCTGACCAGCGCCACCAGGTCCAGCAGCGTGGAGACGGCGCTCAGCTGGATACCGCACTCGTGCGCCGGCCGCTGCGCCGGCAGGAAACAGGCCACCGCCAGCAGCGAGAGCAGCCAGGCCGGCAGCGACGACACGCCCTCCGACTCTGGACAACGGTACCCAGTCACCGGCAGCCCACTGTGTGCTGGGGCACGGGCCACGGGCGCACGCCACGCTCTCACTGCTCACGCGTACGCCTCGATCATGAGAAAACAGGACCTGGCGCTGCAGGACGCGTGGCAAACACGATTCAGCACAAACGAGCGATGCACGAGCGTGGTAGCGCGGTGGGTTGGTACCAGCCGCAACCCTGATGGTGGCAAGCATGCCAAGCTGCCAGATGTCCACAGACTCACCCGGTCCATGCTCGGCCGGGCGAGAGGGAGCAGTGACCAGCGACTCACCGGGCGACGGCGGCGGCTCGTCCGGCTCGTCCAGCGCCGGGAACGAGGAGAGCACCACCAGCAGCTGGCAGGCGCTGCGGAAGGCGGCCGCGTACTGGTCGGCGGCCGGCGCCAGGCGCACTTGGTACGCCTCGGCCTGTCGCAGCGCCGTCCGCACCTGCTCCTGCTGACGACATGGCGGCGCTGAGCGAGTACCGCTTCTGGCGGCCAGGCTCGCCACATCGACTGACTGAGACACACGGCGCTGACCACCGGCTGGCGACTTTTCAGCGATAATGAAATATAAATGTAGACTCCTATCTGGCAGCTTTCCAGCGAAAATAATCCGGAATGAAGCACGGCTATAACGCAAGTGCTTAATGAGCAAAAAGCCTCCTAAATCCTGTCAGTGACAAGTGACACCTGTAAGCCTCACACAACCCGCGGTAATCGGCTCGTCATGGGGACGGGCCTGTCCCGGCGCCCCGGCACGTGCCTCGCTGGAGGGCGGCGGCCGCAGCTCCGCCGGCTCCGCTCCGGCGCCGGTCACCCAGCGGCCCAGCAGCTGTCGCAGCTCGCCGTCGCGCTGGGCGGCGCAGGCGCGCGCCGGCAGCGCCAGCCGGCGGCGGCACTCGTCCAGCGGCGTGTCAGTCGCCAGCAGCCGGGCGCGCACCAGGCTGGCGAACAGGTCGGCGAACAGGCGCGAGCAGTCGTGCACGGAGCCGGGCGGCGGCGGCGGCGGCGCGCCGGGCGGGCTGCGCGAGCGGCGCACGCCCGGCTGCACCTTGTCCAGCACGGTGCGGCAGATGTCGAGCGAGCACGTGAGGTCGGCCGGCCGCAGCGCGCCCACCGCCTCCGTCAGCGTCACGCTGAGACTCTGCAGCACGCAGCAGACAAGGTCCGGCAGGTGCTCCGTCTGCACCTCGACACTCGTCTCCGTCGAGATGACGTCCAGCAGGAAGACGATGAGCGCGCAGCACTCGGCCACGTCCGGGTCGCCGCCGCCGACGGCCAGCACCGGCCCGCCGTCGGCCGCCGGCGCGTCGACGTCATCGTGGGCAGAACGTACTCGGCGGCAGGCCTCTCCGTACTTGACCTGGCGCAAGGAAAACCGGCCACGGCCCGTGTCAGCACCGGTGCGTGCGGCCTATCACCGCAGTTGTCCGTGATGCTAAAATATCCCAGATAACGCTAGAATGCTCAGAAAATGCCCAGACTAGCTGTCAACAATCTCGGCGCTGACAGAAGCTCCGGGTGATACAATGGGCGTCATACGGGATAAATTTAAATGTATCTTAACCAGTTCCCAGCTATCATCACCGTAAAACCGACACCCAAGCATAGGCCGTCGCTAACCGCCCACCTTCATGTAGTCCCAGACGTAGTGGGGTTCAAGGGCGCCGAACAGCAGGTTAGCCGTCTTGACCAGGTCCTGCTGCTGCTTGTTGCCGTCGCTGCTCTGGCTCGAGCGGGAGCTGGAGTCGGCCGGGCGGCGCGTCGACGGCGAGGCCGCTGAGCCCGCCGACTGGTAATTGTGGTACAGCGCCCTGCAGCATCGCCCGACGCCGCGCCGTCAGTGCGACGACGGCAGGGGTGACGACCGATGGTCGGGCTTCGCAGCGCCGAGCCACGCGACAGCACACCTCAGACACCGTACGGCATGTGAGAGCCTGGTTAGAGCGCGACAGCATTTTCAGTCAAAAGTCAACTCGCATACCACCCAGCAACATCCTTGATGGAACGCTTAGACACTTGCAAACAGCCATCTCCACCTGCATCGTGGGACAACTTCTCCGATGGCGGGCTACCGTCCGTCTGCGGCCGTTACCTGACGGCGGGTTAACATCCGTCTGCGGCCGTTACCTGAGCACTTCGATCATGACGTAGTCGAGGAGGGGCGGCCCGATCTCGGCTTTGTCCAGCAGCGATATAATGAGCCGGTACGGCCGAACGTCCGGGCTGGCCGACACAGAGCTGGTCCACAGGCAGTTCTGGCCGCATACAAACAACAGAGATGGTTCACAGGCAGTTCTGGCCGCATACAAACAACAGAGATGGTTCACAGGCAGTTCTGGGCGCACACAGACAAGAGATGGTACACAGGCAGTTCTGGCCGCACACAAACGACGGAGATCGTCCGCAAGGCAGTTCTGGCCGCACACAAACAGCACAGATGGTCCGCAGTCAGTTCTGGCCACACAGACAACAGAGCTGGTCCAAGCAGTTCTGGCCGCACACGCAAACGACAGAAATGGTTCACAGGCAGTTCTGGCCGCACACAGACAACAGGGCTGGTCCACAGGTAGTTCTGGCCGCACACAAACAACAGAGATGGAACACAGACAGTAATGACCACAAAAATGCACACAGAGCTAGTGCCGCACGCGCACGCACACACACACACACACACACACGCACGCACGCACGCACGCACGCACGCACGCACGCACGCACGCACGCACGCACGCACGCACGCACGCAGCAGCATGGCCAGGAGACAGCAGGCAGACGGGGCGCGGGCGGTACGACACGACGGCGGCTAAGCGCCATCCAACATCGGTAAACACACCCAATGACATCGTTTAAAAAAAGATGAGCACTAGAAACTCGACACTCCTATAGCTCGGCCGTGTGTCCCCCTTCTATCCGTTTTCAGCTGGCGGGGCTGACGTCACGAGCAGGCTGGGCGGCGTTGACGTCCCCACCCGGCCGGCCGGGCGGGCGGGCGGGTGGCGACGGCTCACCGTGATGGCATCGATGGCCAGCGGCCGGGAGTAGGCGTCGAAGTAGGCGGTGCCCTGCTCGCCGGACGCGGCCGAGGTGACGCTCTCGGTGCGCTTCACCACCGGGTTCTCCGAGGGCAGCACGCTGACGTCCACCTCGGAGCCGAGCAGCCACGAGTACAGGCGCCTGCCGGGCCGCACGGCCGGGTCAGCCGGAGGTCACCGGGTGCCGACGGCAGCCGCTCGCCACCTCAGCCGGAGGTCAACGGGTCCCGGACCACAGCCGCCCGCCGGGTCAGCCAGAGGTCAACGGGTCCCGGACCACAGCCGCGGGCCGGGTCAGCCCGAGGTCAACGGGTCCCGGACCGCAGCCGCCCGCCGGGTCAGCCGGATACCGGCCACGGTCGATGACGCAGGCACGCACAAGATACGCCGGGGGTATCCGACTGCCACTAAGCCCGGCAGTTTCAAGAAACGTCAGCACAGTAACGCCATCAGCAAAACCGCACCTAGTGATGGACATGCCTCAGGACAGGGTGACAGTTACGGCTGAGGGAGATGTTTCGAAACAACAGCAACTGTATACATGTATCCCCATGAGACGGTGCAGCCGGATCTGAGCAGTGCGCACCCGCAGTACCTGTTGAGTGACATGTCCCGGCGCAGCAGGACGGCCACGGCCGCCGTCACCAGCCGCACCAGATCGGAGCGGATCAGCTGACTGTTGTGCATCGGGAAGGCGGCCAGCAGCAGGTCGAGCGTGAACCGCTGCACCAGCACGCTCGAGTCCTGGACGGCTGCGCACAGCGCCCCCACCTGGCCGAGCACCGGCGCGACGCACAGTCAGCGGCGTCAGGCCGCGGCGCGCGCCACCAGACGGCGGCGAACGCCCACCGCACCTCAAAAGACATGAAGCCGAGCGAAGGGTCGTGGAGTGGAGTGAAGTGGAGTGGGGAAGTGGAACGGATGAGGATGTCGAGATCCTTCCCATTTAGCCGCACGAGTCAGAATCTAACAGCCTGTCGTCGGTCTCGGAAGCCGGTAAAATCAGCAAGCCATCGCGGCGGCTGGCGCCACCCACGTCTCAATACACTCACTAATTTCAACTGCTACGGTTACGTTGGGATGCACCGTTGACAAGCTTTGTCAGCTCGAAATCCGTCAAAAAAGCATGATCCGCCGCAGATCTTTTTTCAATCCATTCGCTTTGCACGATGAAAAATTGGCGCCTAGCCTTCAAAAGATGTTCTGATGCTCAGTTAGGCGGCAGATAGGCTGCCGGGAGACTGACGGTGACGTCCAGGTCGGTGCCCATGATGAACAGCTGGTCCTCCATGCTAAGCTTCTTGTTGAACTTCATGAGTGTGAAGCTGATGGCCGGCAGGCGAATGGCCGGGTTGCAGAGCACGCAGTCCCAGAGGCAGCCGAAGAAGAAGTCCGTTTCAGCGCCCTCGGCCACCCGCTGTATCAGCGCCGCCGTCCTGCGCGCCACGACCATCGGACAGCCGTGACGCAGACGAACCCTCGCCACGCACGCCTGCCTGCGTTTGGCGCACGTTCGCGTCCGAAAGGCCGACCGGCCGCATCACTGTTATCAGAGGCACGCTACCACAGCCACAGTCGTTATCAAGATCAGGCAGGCTCACAGACGAGCGCAGCGCAGGTGTTCTATGCCTTCAGCTCGCCACAAACGCCTGGGCCGGGCAGCAGGCCACACACCTGGCGCAGCGCCTGACTCACCTGTCGAAGTAGTCGGAGCCCTCGTCCAGGCCGGGCAGGATACCGCTGAGGAAGCCGCGCAGGCCGGGCCGCAGGCGGCGGCCCAGCGGCACGAAATGCGTCTCGTAGATGGTGAGCAGAGCGGGCCGTACGTTCATGGCGGCGTGTCCGAACAGCGGGAACAGACCTGCGCGGTCCGACGCCACGTACGCCGGTCAGGGACAACACTCGCCACAGAGTCAGCACACCGGCCACAAGGTCAGCAAACCGGCCACGGGATCAGCACACCGGCCACGGGGTCAGCACACCGGCCACGGGGTCAGCACACCCGCCACGGGACGCCACCCGTAAGGAATGCAAGGCATTATAGAAGAGATAACGTAAGGAAATCTAATTACACGTGCACCATGATATGACAACTTTGACTGGCTTGTGCTTCCAGACTGGCTTACAGACCAACAGCACACTACCGACGCTATGCAGATTTCCATCTGCACGAACTTATGCACAAGACCAGACCACAACAGCCCGCGTGTGCGTGGCAGGGCGAGCAAGAGCCAGCCTCCGCACTTAGGTCGAGACACGCAGTAATGGTAGCATGCGCTCTGATCCATTTCGGCCACAACTCCAAACGGCGGACCTGAATCGGGCATGACGTCTTTGTCGCTGCAAGACACCGATGTAGGCCGATCAAGCAACACGCGCACCCGCAATATACAAGCGGCGTTTGGAACAATCAAATGAATGCGTCGCCTGCCAGCTGAGCCCGGTCAATACTGCGCCCGTACACGATGATACGGGTCCACCGCTGATCAACCAACCACGGTAACATGAAACAAGCACATATGGCTGCTGGGTAAGGACACTTAAGTTTTGTCATGCCAATGGCCGTCGCCAGCCGTAAGCCAGCGTGAGCAGTCGCTCTGTGGGGACCGGGCTCCAAACGCCTCCGCGGCGCCGCCGCATCGGCACGTCAGTGACAGCCGTGCCGCAGATGGGCACGCGCTCTGGCAGCTGCCGTTCCAGACGTAAACAGGGCGCGGGCGTGGGACCGCAGCTCCACTGGCGCCCGGCACAGCTGGCACACGCGACCGGCGGCGCGCGCGCAGCTGGCCGCGGCCGGCGCTCCGGCTGCCGGGCATGTACGGCGCCAGGCTGTCCGCAGAGGAGCGGGCGGGCTAGTGTTGAATCATGTGGCTATCGGATACGCAGTCATGCCGCGCGTGAGTGGAGTAAACTGATGCAGACCTGTATTCATTTATTAGCGCATGGCTGCAAGATGACAGCGCTCCTCCGGCCGAGCGCCAGAGAAAGACCGGGCAGCGACCCTATTTTCGATCCGGGATAACCATTACCAGACTTTGCCCTCAGCAACCGATCAGTCGGCCTTGGCCGCCAGTTTGAGCATGAATGACATCGTGTTTAGCCACATTCAAGACCGTGAGAGACGGCCAACAGACGCCGTCACAGTGACGCGTGCAGTGCCCTTGGCAACCAGGCCATGCTGGCCTGAGACCGTGGGCGCCCCGCCACACCTCCCCGCGCCGGGGAGGCAGCGACGACGGGGGGGGGGGGGGAGCCCACATATCCGACCGACGACGGGAAGAGAACCAGCCCACCGCCGGCCAACGGGAGGGGGCGGGGACAGACCGACGGATGGGGGAGGCACTTGGTGCCGTCAGCACTGACCGGCGCTGTAGATGAAGAGCTCCTGGCTGAGCCGGTTGGTGCCCATGCACTTGAACATGATGTCGTAGCACTCGAGCGCCTTCAGATGGACGCCGCTGGGCAGCGCCGGATGCATGCACTGCGCCAGCCGCTTACTGATGACGATGCGGCTCGGGATCACCGGGTACTTGATGTTGGAGACCAGCACCTGGCGCCGCCCGGCACAGTTACGCTCGTGCCATGACACGAGGTCTGATGACTTGGTTTTTTTTTGGGGGGGGGGGGGGCGCATCGACTGCAGGATGTCATACCGCACCAGGCACGAGGCCCGACCGACCGCACCTGGCCTGTGGCGCGAGACGAGACCGGTGACGGTCGTAGCGGCGCCAGCAACTACCCACACACACGGTTTACGGAACGTGCCAAATCACACTAATATACATGATTTTGTAAGAACGCAATGTCAGCTTCGATGTGTTGCTACTGTTCTACTTTATCAGCGGGCTAAAAACGTTCATAAAAGACCACAGGCACATTCTATCCTTTTTCATTCAATAGACAGCTATAACCTGTTACCAAAGAGCGCACGCGCTTTTCGCTTTATTGCTATCAAAAGAAGCATTAGTGACCCCGAAACTTCACTTTCTTACTTTAACGCAACGCGTTAAAACGGCGGTCGGGCTGACCAACCTTGTTGAGCTTTCCCAGGGCCGAAATGAGATCCGCCCACTCGCTGGTGTACTCGAAACTCTTGAGCGCCTTGTCGACCGCCGCGATGTACTGGCGGTACTTCGAGTCGGCGCGCAGCTCGTACTCCTCCAGCGTGACCGAGGCCATGGCGGCAGGATACCGCGGCGGCTCCACTCCTCAGAACAGGCCAGCCGCCGGCCGCCGCCGCATCAGCGCTGCGGTATGCGCGGGGTCGTCAGGGAGCCGTCGCGGCCGCACACGCAGGCCAGCCGCCGGCCGCCGCCGCATCAGCGCTGCGGCATGCGCGGGGTCGTGCACCGCGTATGCACGTCAAGGGGCCGACGCGATCGCGTGCACGTGGGGCGGCTCGCGCTGGTGCTCATGGCACGAAATGGGGTACAATGTCTACGGAAAATAGCCAGGTCACAATCGCGAACGAAGTTGACGTAAGGTATGGTGTGTGGTCCCGACTTCACCCAACCATGCCTGACTCACAACAGGAGAAAACTCAATCAGCAAGACAAAAAAAAAAACTGATACAAAAAGGGTAACTGCATGCCTTGAGTCACATAGCATGTTCACACATGTCACATTCAGCTACATATCTTGTCACACCACACATATATTCATACACTGCACTGCACATATTTGTATTTGGTATTCACATCCCAGCTGCTTTTCATACACAAGGAAAGACAAAGGCAGTGCTCAGTGAAATACATGCTGGCTGTTGATCACATAATAGCTCAACTCAACACAAGTGATGGCAGCATAAACAATGATAATGGCTCATGCTACAGTATTGGAATGACATTCCTCACTGAAAAGGTTTTTTATCCATCATTGACATTGCCCTCTCACCCCTGTGATAAATGCATGTCTGTCATGTTGTGTCTGTGAATGCTGTCCCCAGTATTTGGGCATGTTAAATAAACAAAAATACACTGTATACAAGTAGGGATGACAAGAAAACAGTTCTAAAATACTTCAGAAGTCTGGCAAACTTCTGAATATGGATGTTTCTTCACAAATTGTGTAAACAGTTTCTAGGAATGGGTTTGAGATCATTGTCCTTGCTAGGCATACATTTTTTTTGCAGAGATCCTGACAATATTACTTCACCAGAGCAATCCCAGCTCAATGTGCAATTTTGACAACATATTTAAGGGTACCATGCAGTTTAAGAAACGGCTGTGCTACGGCATAGTGACCTTTAATGGCCAGATGCCAGGTGGTGATATGACAAGCAAAATATTTGTGCACATCTTACCAGACACAAATTCACAATCTGCGACCCAATTGGTCAGCTGTTTGTAGCTTTACTGAGTTATAGGGATGGCAAAATAGTAACACAACAATAAGTACCAATACCCATACAAAATTGCAGGGAAGGATTGCACTGTGCACAATTGCACTGTGCATGGGGGGGGGGGGGCTTTACAGTGAGCTGGCTTTGGGCTGAACTGTAAGGAATTATGACCAGTCTCCAAAAACATACTAACAGATGGGCTTCCATTAAATTATGACCAGTCTCTAAAAACATACTAACAGATGGGCTTCTTCTTAAAATTGGTCATTTTCTCTCAAAATGGCTGAGGAGGGGAGGGGCTGAAACACCAGTTGAGGGAAATAGGGGCTGGAGTGTCCCTGACTGACTGAGGGGCTGGGACCCTGGCTGTGGACACAGTGGAGTAAATTTTGGGCACATCCATTGAAGACCACAAGCCACAGACATTTCTAACCTACAGCCCAATGATGGATCTGAAACATTAGTGTTTTGAGCCAGAAAGTTAAACATCACTACCAAGTAAAATGTGCAGGTTCAATGTATCTAAATATACCTAGGATATAAGTGGAATATGATATAAGTAATCTGCATGCATGCAAACAAACAAAAGCATGCTGGAGTTATCATGAAATATCTAGGCAAGAGAGAAAGCACAGTTTCAAATAGGACCTACCCTCATGTCCCATGAGCCCAGCTCCCAGGGGCCTCAAATAAGAGGCTTCATGATTTATGAAAAAATACAAGAGCAAAACCACTTGGTGCCCACTATGCCCAAGTGTCATATGTGACGACTGGCACAACTGAAGGCATCTGTGAAACAAATAGTTCAAACCCAAAATGAGCCCAATCTAGTCAATGATGACTCCTTCCCAGTCGCAGGCTGCTAAGATGCCTTTGAAAACAATGAGGTAAATCATAACATGTTTTACATACTCAAGAGGCAATGAGTTATGGAGACAATTGGTTAGATGGCCAATGTGCCTCCAAGGCAATGGTGGGTCTGTAGGGGATTGGGTGTGGGACCATCAATGTACACATAAGGTGAGGACAGCATTAGGTAATGAGGATTGTGCACAGGATGATCAACATACCCAAAAAAATTATAACACACTACATTGGTAACAGTCACAAGCATATATTAGGCACCTATCAACACTCATTCAAATAAAAAACTAAGGCGCCAGCACAAACAGGCACAAAACAAACAACTCACCTTTGACACCAGTCGATTGTGCAGCGGCACTCCAAAGTTAATCGAACATAAGACAACTGTCATGTGTAGCCCTAAAAATCACAGCTTACTCCAACATTTGACAACCGCCGCACGACTTGTGCAAGCCCGTATGTAGGACAGTTCACACATAAGCTAGATTTCAACAAACACCGGCTTGTGCTAGACGCGGTCGTTCTAAGTTTTCGCTGGACCAACGCGGCTTCTCCGCAGCAAGAGGTCTTCTTGCGTAACACGTAACCGTAATACCAACGCACGGCGTACGAGCCTCGAGCTTATGCCTGCATCCAAATATCCGAGGAACAGCGGAGGGACAGCATACGGCAGAAAATGCGCACCGTATACAAATTAGCTTCATGAGCTACCATTTCTAAAAAATGTACGATTAGACTAAAATTGCCGGCGTGGAGTAAGAGTCAAATGGTCCGTGCACGAGTACACAGGCGCTTGCGGAAGCAGCTGACCACTCAGGGCATGGAACATTTCGTCTTCGACAGGGGCTTCATTCGTTTTCAGTTGGGCTGGGCTCCAGTCCACGACTTTCATAACAAAATTGATCAAAATTCCTGTTTTGTGTATTGAGTATAAGCTTATGTGCAGCCATTTACCACATCCATAGTTCGCACGCTGTGGATGTGGTAAATGGCTGCACTGACTGCTGCCAAAATGACTGCTGCTGTGGATGCACACCAAAGTCAAAATCATTACTCAACCATCCCAGCTCATTTACGAAGTTACACTCCTGACGCGGAGGCATCCATGGGGTGTATATGAATGGTAGATAAGCATCCCCCAGGAATGGGAGAAGTGTTTTTTCATGCGCCGGATCTAGATGCAATCGCGTTTTCGCGAATTCTGCGTGATATCACCCATGGTCCCAGGCAGATATCGCAAAAATTATCTTCTGGCAACAAAAAGTCAAATTTCCTCCAAAACCCTGCCAATTCCGATCAAATTTCTGCCAAAACGCCAACTATTTGGCGCAACCCTCTCAGCTCAGGGGAAGGGCATGGCCTCGCCGCCCGCCCCCTTGACTACGTCCCCGCATGTTCCTCCACTCATCCGGTGACAACGCTCATTGGCGTGCACCTCGCATGAAGTGCAGACGTAAGCTAGGAGCAGCGTGAACTGCAGTTATGTAGGCCTGCTACAGATTGTGCTCATTCTAGACCGGAAGCCGGTCGTAGGCGAGGAGATCCATACCGCATTCGCCGCGGCCACATCAGTGAAAGATCTCCGACTTCGCTCGGGTGTAGGTGGCAACCGACTGACGCTAACAGTAAAGTGATGTTATCCCTGCGTCCGTTAGATAGTACCTAAAAAGAAACCCAATGCTCTAGATAAAGAGACGAAAATAATCAGGAAGTCAATGAGCATCAACGGAATTATCAGGAACTGAACGAGTTTCGCTTGCCGTACCGCCGCAGAACTTCCGGGTCTATGGCATGCGGTACGGAAAATGAATGAATAAACGCGATCTCAATACAACCAAGCCGGAAATATCCTGTACCTGCGCACGTCTGGTGTGCTTTCAAACGGCATGGTTCGATAAGCCAGCTTGTCAAGCGCACTCCCAGTGCAGAGATCGTCAGAACAAGACATGTATTCCAGAAATCAGCCATCGCACATTTGTGTGCAAACACCAAATAACAGACATGCAAATGTTAAACATCCAATTCAGAGAGCATCATAATATATCATCCATATCGGTCAAAAGTACGATTACGACGGGCAGCAGGCGTTAAAACAACGTATGATTTTCCCATTAAGAAACACCAACCGAACCAACACCATACACAGCAAAAGAAAACCGTTTGGAGTGTGATTTGTTCGACAGGTGTATAATCTGGGCGCACACAAATCTGACACACGATGAGATATGAGCGAACAGCACACGATTTCGCTATTCATATATCACCACTCACGTTCAAGCAGCCTTTTGCCAATAGCACAGGACGAAAGTTCCCTTTTCATGTCACTAGCCCAATGAGCAAAACAGGCTCCACACACCTCCACCAGTAAAAATGTCGATGACCCAGCCTTAAGATGACTAGAACTGACACGAGTCACGGCACACCCACGTCGCAAACGCTGGCTTTTTCGCCCCTTCTAGTTTTTTTGGAAAGACAACTCTGCACAATGCAACAGCCTCGTTGGTAGACACTGGTCAGACCCGAAGTTCTCCAAACACCGCCCTCGGATTCCCACTCCCGGAATGAATTGGGATCATCAACAAGCCGCGTCGCGACCGGCGCGGTAACAGCGGTGGGCACACGACATTCAGTTAACGAAGCGTGGCAACAGACTGGCAGCGCGGGACCAATCACGGCGCCGGGCCAGCCCGACCAATGGCTCGCGATCCGGCCAAGAAAGATGCCTTCCCAAGACAACGAGCGTCTCAGAGGCCGGGGGCGCGTCTGTGAGCCGGTCTGCGCGACCGTCCGACGGAAGGCAGCCAGGTGCGAGGTCTGTCGCCCTCTCCTGATCACGACCTGAGCCGAACGAACCAATGTCGCGGCCACCGGGCCTTCGGACGTCGCACGGCTGCCGTGGCCACGCGACCGACCGCGGTCCAGGCGGCGTCACATCCGCACAGCTGACCCGCCCCAACCCCGACACCGGACGGAACCCCACAGCACCACAGCAAACACCGCAACACACAGGTACGCCACATATCGCCGGCTCGGCCGACACGTCGCCACCATCGGAGAGCCCGCACGAGCCGTCCGACGGCCCAACACCGAGGTCGCCGCGGCAGACACGCTCATCAGCGATTTACCGCTCCCCAGCCGCCACACGCCACTCGGCGACCTCCCAACGGCAGACACGGCCACGGGGCGCGATGAGCTCGCCGGACGGGTCACGCTCTCTGGCGATTCGACGCCACCGACGCCACACGACACTCATCGAACACCGGCGGCGGAGCGAGACATGGCGGGGCGCACAGGCCGCTCCGACACGGCCGGGCGGACCAGTGCTCACACGCGCCACGCCGCCGCCGCGGCTCACCGCGACCATGCTCCGTGTCACACGGGACTTTATGGCGACGAGGACAGCTGTTCACAGGACGACGGGCCGTTACACCGTGCGAGCATCCCCGACGCGCCAAATGTGATGACGGACATGGAAATGGCGCAATGACCAGAACCTTGGAAGAGAGAAGTGGAATGGAATGGAATGGAATGGAATGGAATGGAATAGTGAGCAGTTGGCATGGTGGGCTGCTCCCTACATGTATTCAAATGCACACCAGACCAGAAATATCGGCCGACGATGGCTTGCTGCAGCTGGGATCGATCCATGCGCGCAGCAACAATGGCCCTGATATTTTATGTACGACGCGCACATGCCAAAAACTGGAGCGCGATCATACGTTTTCAGTGATGAAAACCGACCGGCCACTGAAACGGGAACTAAATGCGACGATAATGCGGGAAGCAGATACGACCATTACCACACACTATGTGCGAAAAGTAACCTTACGTTCAATGCTCGCAGAAAGTGACGTCGGATATAAAAGTATATTTGGTTCGCGTTATCGGTTTGATAACGAACGCACACATGTACGCTATGGTCATCATCGGATAAATTAATAGGCCGCACATTCTATCCGCGTCCGAAACTCGCCGTCTTTAGTATCTTTGGTCACTTCCCGTGCGAGCTTAACACAGTCCCGTTTTCAACATGGAAACGGTGACTAGACAACATCTGACTCGCCTGAGAGGCTCGCACAGCCAAGAGCTCACAAACCGCTTCGCCCGGCCGCCCCCTGCCGCGCACCGCACCGCCAGAGCGTTACCGCAGCTCCGCCACGGCGGGGCGGGGCGGGGCGGGGCGGGGCGGGGCGGGGCGGGGCGGGACGCCGGTGGTCTCAAACGCCGGCCGCCGGCTGGCCGGACTCTGAGAGCAGCCGCTCCACCTCCTCCAACTCGTCGTCGCTGCTGGCCGACGTCGGCACGCGCTCGACCCGGCCATGCGTCCGGTGTACCGGCGAGTACCTGCCGGCAGAGGACGCCGCCAGTCGGCAGGTGAAGCAGTCAGTCGGAAGATCACGCCGTCAGTCGGCCGAGGACTTTGGTTGGAAGATGACACCGATAGTGGGCAGAGGACGACGTTAGCCGGACGACCACGCCGTCAGTCGGCAGAGGACGCCGTCAGTCGGCGGAGGACGATGTCAGTCGGCAGAGTACGATGTTAGTCGGACGACCACGCCGTCAGTCAGCAGAGGACGCCGTCAGTCGGCAGAGGACGCCGTCAGTCCGCGGAGGACGAAGTCGGTCGAAAGAGGACGACGTTAGTCGGCAGACGACGTCGTCAATTGGAAGAGGTCATCGTCAGTCGGCAGATGACACCGTCAGTCGGCGGAGGAAGCCGTCAGTTGGCAAATAAAACCATCAGTCGGCAGAGGACGCCTTAAGTCGACATATAATGTCAGTCAGCAGATGACACCGTCAGTCGGCGGAGAACGTCATCGATTGGAAGAGGACGACGTTAGTCGGCGGAGGACGACGTCAGTCGGAAGAGGACGACGTTAGTCGGCAGAGGACGCCGTCAGTCGGCAGATACCAGTCAGTCGGCAGATAACACTGTCAGTTGGAAGATAACACTGCCAGTTGGCAGAGGACACTGTCGGTCGGCGGAGGACGCCGTCAGTCAGCAGATAACACCATCAGTCGACAGGAGACGTCTTAAGTCGACAGATGATAAGGTCAGTCAGCAGACGACACCGTCATTGGGCGGAGGACGCCGTCAGTCGGCGGAGAACACCGTCAGTCGGCAGGTAACACCGTCATTGGGCGGAGGACGTCGTCAGTCGGCGGAGGACGCCGTCAGTCGGCAGGTAACACCGTCATTGGGCGGAGGACGTCGTCAGTCGGCGGAGAACACTGTCAGTCGGCAGGTAACACCGTCATTGGGCGGAGGACGCCATCAGCCGGCGAAGGACGCCGTCAGTCGGCAGGTAACACCGTCATTGGGCGGAGGACGTCGTCAGTCGGTGGAGGACGCCGTCAGTCGGCAGGTAACACCGTCCACCGGCAGGTGACATTGCCTGCCTGCAGAGGTGACTTCCAGGAGGAAGGCGACACACTCCCCGTCGGCGGCACCATAGACCAACCACACGGGCGGACCCGAGTCGACACAACATTTAAAACAGAGCACGGCAGTCAATACGATACATCAGCGACAGCACCAATCGTACGGAGCGGCATATCAGGGGCACTTCTCTGACGCACCATTGTCAGCAAACAGAATATCCCCAGCATGCAACAGACCTCCCGCGTCGTCACGTCACAGCTCCGAATGACCCTGTCGCGTACACTACGCCGCCGGTATGCTTCCAGGGCCGTTGGCTCCGTTCGACTCTTTCAGATCTTCGCGCTACACCGCTACACGGTAAGTACAGAAGACGAAAAGCTGCATAATATGACGGAGTCCAGTCCACGGAAGCGGACTGGACTGGACTGGACTGGACTGGACTGGACCGGACCGAACCGGACCGGACCGGACCGGACCGGACCGGACCGGACCGGACCGGACCGGACCGGACCGGACCGGACCGGACCGGACCAGCCGCCGGAGCCTGACGTACCTGAACATGTAGCCGTTGACAAGCGACGCGCTGACGGACCGCTTCCGCATACAGCGCTTGATGACCACGAAGAGCAGGGCCACGACGCAGGAGGCAAACACCGCCGCTATGGCCACTGTAACGATCCGCTCCGTCACGTCTACGCTGCAGCAACACGCCCGCCACGCTTCGTATAGGGATAATACGGCACAGCGTAAACCACGGGCAATTACCACGGCAAGCTGAAAAACATGATACTGGTTTGCCTCAATGGTCTGTATGGCCGCGCCGCAATTTGCTTTTGATCGGAACGACAGGATTGCAGATCACTAATTGGCCGCTGGTGGCGGACATATTAAACGGGCAAGCGTTCCAAGTGCGGGAGCAGCTATCATTTGACGGAACAAACGGACTCATACTTGGTTTGGAGCAAACAAGTTCGGACGTTAACACGAACGACTTCAAAGGTTAGCTGTGATTTCCTAAAATGGACGTCGCAGCAAACACAATGCTCCGCTGAATTTTTCTTCACATACGACACCGCTTGCATTCGATTCGAAACCGTACCGCCGTCTCACTATTCGCCTCCCGACGATGTGCCTCGCATTCCCCGTCTTCACACGCCTCTCCACATACCGGCCGTCCAGAAGCCGGCGCCGCCCGAGCTGATCCAGAAGCCCAGCGAGGACGGCGCCAGCAGCGGCTCCACCCGCAGCCGGCTGCCGTTGGAGCTGACGGCGCCCGGCGGCAGCGCCAGCACCAGCGCCGCCAGCTCCATCACATCCACGTTCTCCAGCCGCGTGGTGTGCACGAAGTGACGTCGGAAGGCGGGACCGCGCGCCAGCAGCGGGTGCTCCATGCTCAGCAACTGTGGGTCGTAGCCGTGGTTGCCGAGCGTGCCTGCCGGCAGCGGCCGCCGACGTCAGCCGCATCCAAATGCCGGAAGGGGCACACGCACGCACGCACGCACGCAGTCACACACACAGGCACGCACGCACGCACGCACACACCACGCACGCACGCACGCACGCACACACACACACACACGCACACGCACACGCACGCGCACGCGCACGCGCACGCGCACGCGCACGCGCACGCGCACGCGCACGCGCACGCGCACGCGCACGCGCACACACACACACACACACCACACACACACACACACACACACACACACACACACACACACACACACACACACACACACACACACACACACACACACACACACACACACACACACACGCACACGACGGCTACGGCATGAGGGAATCCCACGTCCGAGGGGTCTCAGTGACTGACACGATCGTGTGTGAGAAGAGGAAGCCGCAGGTGGCTCGAAGCTTCATCTCGTTCGCTTGCCAGCCCACTGATTATTCATCCTCGCACAATACCATTACTGCGAGGCTATCGAGTTCGGCCCGCGGGCGCGGACCTCCCCCCCCACCAGCGAGGTTCCACCCGCGGGTACGGTACCTCCCCCCTGACCGCGCCGTCCCCAGCCTGAGGTGCCGTCCGCGGGCGCGGTACCTCCCCGCCCTGCCCCTCCCCTCACCTGTGAGGTTTCGCCCCTCTTCTCGGTAGCTCTCGAGCGTGGCGTTCAACCCGGGCGTGACGAACATGTAGCCCTCGTGCGCCACCAGCAGGATGTCGGGCACGCGCGGGTTCCGGCGGTAGTGCCACCGCTCGGGGATCTTCTCCTTCACGTACACTGTGTAGTTCAGGCCCAGCTTCTCCGAGCCGTCCCGCAGTCGGTCGTACACGGTCAGGCTCTTGCCTGGCGAAAGTGCCAGCGAACGGAAAGGTCAGGCTTAAAGTTTAGAGCGTATCACGGTCAGGCACGACCACGCTCGCGAATGACGGGCGGACGGGCGGCCGGTAAGGTAAGCAAAGTGGTCACGCATCGCTTGATCGATGAGGGAGGGGGGGGGGGGGGAGGAGAGGCTACGAAATAGCGCAGAATAAGAACTATGGCAAAGGTAAATTTATATTCACTGCACGTGAACAATTCCTGCTTATGATCTTTCCGCAAGTAAGTCCGTTCCCTATTCACATTAACTGAAAACTGAGAGGGACCGGAAGATGGCAAGCTAGATATTTCACCCGCTAAAGCATACCCCGTGAACACGAACGTACGTAACGGAGGCTTCAAACGTATCTCCCAGACATTGCGCAGTACTTTCTTCATATCCAACTTCACACATTGCGTCACGGCAATCAGCAGCATTGCCGGCAGCAGAAGCAAAGGGTCAACAGCCGGCAGTCAGAGCACGGCTCAGCGGCAATCCGTGGGCAGCTGCCGAGGTCAGCAGCCGCCGCCGCACCAGCGCGGCGGCACGGTGTCTGCCCCACGCTCACCTGTGCGCGGCACGATCCGGAGCACGGGGTTGGGTCCCAGCGCCTGATACCAGTCCGGGTCGAGCAGCGCGTCCAGGTCGATGAGGTGTCCGGGCGGCACGGCCGACATACCGTGGTCGGACGTCACCACCAGGTTGACGCGGTCCTCCAGCTCGAACAGGCGCAGCGTGCGGACGATGTAGCCGAGCAGCTCGTCCGTCCGCCGCAACTGCTCCCACACCTGAGGTGGCGGGCCAGCGACACCATACAGCGCGCGCATGGCGGCTACATCCGCCGCAACTGCTCCCACTCCTGAGGTGGTGGGCCAGCGACACCATACAGCGCGCACATGGCAGCCACGTAGAGGGTGACGGGAGGGGGGGGGGGGGGGGGTCGGTGCTGGCTGGCTACGCAGCGTAAAGTTAAAGCGTTCCGGCTGCGGTGTGATTTCGCGAAGATTCACCTCATCATTTCGTTCTGCCTCCACATTCCAAAGTGGATGCACTTTCCTCTGGTCTCCTCCAGTTGACGGCCAACACGGCTCAGGCATACAACAGTCCACAAGCGGTCACATTCGCGAAGACGGAGCCACCCCGAGCCCAGAGTGGACCGACTACCGTAACACGTCAGAGCCGCAAAACCGCGATCGGATTACAACGCCAGACCGGTCACACAGGTCCGGGGCCAGCGCGGGGCGCGAGCCTGACGGCTGACCTGCGGCGAGTCCGGTCCGAAGGCGTGTCCCACCGCGTCCGGCTGCTCGATGTACCAGAGCACCAGGTTGGCCGGCCGCTCGGTGTCCCGCAGCCAGTCGAACACCATGCTGACCCGCTCGCGCCAGGGCACCGACCTGTCGGCACGGTCGCGGGGTGTCGGCTCTGGTACCGGCACAGTACGTGGGGTGTCGGCTGTGGTACCAGCACAGTACGTGGGGTGTCGACTGTGGTCCCGGGGCGGTACGCGGGAGTGTCGACTGTGGTCACGGGGCGGTGCGCGGGGTGTCGACTGTGGTCACGGGGCGGTACGCGGCGTGTCGACTGTGGTCACGGGGCGGTACGCGGCGTGTCGACTGTGGTCCCGGGGCGGTGCGCGGGGTGTCGACTGTGGTCACGGGGCGGTACGCGGGGTGTCGACTGTGGTCACGGGGCGGTACGCGGGGTGTACACCGTGGTCGCGGGGCGGACCGCCATACACACGTGCTTCGGGCACCTGTCGAGGCGCGGTGCGCCGCTGGCGGACACGCCGACCAGACAACGAACAAGGACCTGACGATCCGGGTGATCGCCACACGAGAACACTGCGACGCGGCTCCACAGTACAGACTCGATTGGGTATCAGCTTCTCCAGCTGGGTAGTGGCTGGAAATGTCACTCAGGCTGATTACGTCGGGCTTCATACGTAAAAGTAAGCGTTCGCGCAGGCACAATGGCGGAGTCCCCGCCACTGATGTAGCCAGCGCCGTTTCTCACTTGTTGTAATTCTGGACATAAGTGGGAGGCCTGATGTACGCGCAGCCGGGCCACATCATGCAGCCACTGTAGCGACCGCCGGCCGCGGCCTCGTTCAACGCCTGTCCACAAACACGACGTCAACGGTTCACTACTTGTAAAATCAGGCTGGCCAAAGCAAATGAGGGCAGCCTCATGCGGGTGTCATTGGGTTGGGTTTGCCACGAGCAGACCATCGCAAAAGACGTGAAATGAAAGGCGAATCACATCTTGAAGACGACACGATGAAACCGACAAGGGAGTCTGGAAAGCAATTCAAAGGCCAGGCCTAAACGAATACAATAGCATTGTTAAAACTGGTCGCCATGATCGGAATGAAAGGTGACACCGTGGCACTCGATGCATGGACAACTCACCCAGATAGGCTGCACTTGGTCGTTGTAGTTCCAGTAGGCAGTCTCATTCATGTCCACCACCCGCTTGGACTCGGGATCAATGTACGGTCCGATGACACCGTGCGACTCAGCATACAGGCCAGTCGCCATGGAGATGTGATTTGGAAATGTCTTGGAGGGGAACACGGGCCGCACGTGCGGCACGAACGACCACTGGCGCAGCTGGTCAAAGTGTGTCAAGTTGCCCCTGTACAGGAAATCGTACCGAAACCCATCGAAGGATAACAAAAGCAAGATAGGCTGCTCGGAAATGCTAGTCACCACTAGCCACTGACTGGGGAAAAGCAGAAGGCAGAGAATGGGCATGGCTGACCTGGCAATCACTGCCATGGCGGATGGTTACCTCTTATCCCACAGCAGGGACTTGGGATCTGTTTGATGCAACACACAGACCTCCAGCAATGCTTCTGGCAGACAACCAATTTGCTTAGCTAGCTCAGTTCAGCCAATTGCATGTAATTACTGTTTGGATTCTTCCACTCATGCTGAAATGGAGAGGTAATTTAGTTGGTACCTAGTTGTGTGCTTGTCCCCACAATTTGTCTAAATCCAAAACATTTGCTAAATAAACCTGGTTGTTTGAAGTTTTGCTGTTTGCTTGTATCTTCCATCCAACATGAAACATGGATGACCATGTTAGCAATGAGACATCCAACATGAAACATGGATGGCCATGGTAGCCATGGGACATGCTATGGTAAAGTATCTGTGCACTGCACTTCATGATTATTTGCCAGGGTTTTAATGTGGAACATAAAGCATGCCTCAAAAACTCACCTCACTCATCCATTCCCCTTAAACTAATTATCTTAGCTTGCCTTTTTAGGCAAATAACTTGGTTGCATACTTTCACTGATAAATACTATTTTTATTTTCCTCAAGTAGCATCCTATTGTTTCAAAACATCATCACAATCACCTTCTCATAACTTTCTTATTATATCACCCATTTTCTTGCTGAAGATTATGCCGGGCTGCGGGAGCAAGTGGAAACCCTAGTCACCTGTTTATGGCTTGAAGAGTGGCAGAGTGGTGCCATTTGAGCTGAAAACCTATATGTTGGCACACTCAGCTAGCTGATTCATGAGCCTTGTTATAAATATATATATATATATATATATATATATGTATGGTCATCTATCTTTCCCATCCATCATATTAATGGAGCAGCCACTTGAATTGCGTCAAATTTGTTTTACCACTTTGTGGATGGTGACAACCAATGTCATCTAATTATTACTCAATCAATGTTTGTGTTACAGAATTATTTTCATTTGTTATATCCTTTCCACAGCAGAAGCTGAGAGTAACAAAACTCTTTCTTATGAGAGCATATAAGAGGTGAATTGATTTTGGGGTTGAAAATATAATGAAGTACCACAATTTCATATGATGAGCTGCTCACCTTATGAATGATGCTGCATGATGCAAACATGATGTCTCTATAACATTTGCAGTTAAGATAGTGCCATTAACATGTGCAACTATCTTCTGACAACAAATAATAGGCTGCCAGCTAAGGAGTGGGGATGTAGATGGTGGCTGAAAGACCAAGGTTTGGGTAGTTGATTCAAGTTTGATAAATATAAGATATACTCAGTTGCAAGCACCTAATAATGAGAATGCAGCCCCATTAATGACAGACACTGCACCCAGAAGAAACTCAAATCATTATCACGTGGCACCCATACATATGCCAGGAGTGTACTTCACCATAAAGCTTCAAAGAGAGCCCAAAGTTCTACAGGCCCTAAAACAACATCTGGGCTTTAGTTGTGTGTTTTGATTACAATTACACCAAAATAATGTAAACCAGTAAACCAAATTATGGCCAATAATAAAAAAATAGTGAGTACTCATTTAGCTTGGTTCACAACCCAAAAAATAATCAGCAACAGAATGATATAATAATGTGCTACCCAATCTTGTCATAGTGTAAACTCAATACAAGTTCCACTTCTCTCCACTTAAGATGCACTAAATCTGAAATCACTGACTGATGATTTTCAGAAGCACCCAAGCTCCACATATCAGCTAAAGCTGGCCACCCCTTCAACTAAATCAAACTCAAATGCTATGGTATTGCATTGAAAGGACCAACATGAAACCATTTGACAAATCTACCTCTCAAATGTTTTTTCACTGCTTCTGATATGGGCTGTGCTTCAGCTGGCATTGCCACCTGCCAGGTTCAGTGTCTGAAGCAAGTCCACATATAAGCATATTCATATTCAGCACACTTCTGCCCAAGATTACCTGTGCATAATCATAATTCCTTCAAACATAGGCTGCCCATGGAGTGTAAATGGAAGCCAACATGCACCAAATGCTGAAGTTGCTGGTTCGCAGCATGCATGCACTGCAGTTGTTCTTGGGATGCTTGAATATTTCCCAAATCCACAAATATGTTCCAACATCACACCAAAAATATCAGTGCAACCACGAATACATCATGTGGGTTATGATCAATCAATCATGATCCCCACTCGATATAGCCTGCAGGCCACGAAGAAAGCCCAACATTATCGCAATTTCACCCACGCAGACCCCCGCCCGCAACCAAAACCTCGCACGACGTATAGCATCCACACCACCGCATCCCCACCGTAACACCCGTCCTCAGCGCTGCGGTTCAATGTTTACGCCGCTTCCTCGCTTGCTCATGCTGCGCCAAATCATGCACCCGGCGTGACGAAGGTGATATGGTAGCTCCATTTCGAGAATTGGTGGAGGTAAATCCCCGGTTGCTAGATGTCCTAAGAGAATTTGCGTGCCGGTGGGGTTGTCGAGGCGATACCCGCAGCGGTAGTTGCAGCAACCGACTATCATAGAAGTCGAGGATCAGCTCGACGTACAGGTCGCGAAAATCTAAGCCGTTAGTTTTGATGGTTTGGCCCCAAGTGTGACCACATTCTGTTGTACCACTAAAACATTGAGGTTACATTCCGGCGTGTAAGTTTCCTTTTTCATAGGGGTGGGGGATCCCATGAATCTTACCCATTCCATTTTCCAGACGCATTTGTGCACATACTTTGGCCACGTCTTTTTGTGATTATACTTTGAGCCCTTGTGTCATCCTATCAGATGTCTCACGTAAAAACCGTCTGGCTGGAAGTGGAGTGGAGCGGAAGTGGAAAATTGGTGGCGCCAACCCATTGGGGGGAACCAGGGGCGGCGCCACCAATTTCTGATAGGGTGGGGGAGGGGCAGGCCGAAAAATGTTGCAAGACTTGAGTAAAAATAAATGGACAGAAATGGTGCCTTTAATAGCTGACGTTCCCGTCAATGATCATTGTTACGCACATTTTTCATGTGCCGTGAGTTACACCGCCAGAAGGGTAAGGCATGGGGGCGTGGAATTCAGAGATGAGGGCAGATCTAAGACACACCACTTCCTGAAAATTTAGCATTGGCCCTTTGAGCGTTGACCGGAAAGAAACCAGCAAAGGGGCTATCATTGCCTTGCCTTTCCGACGTGGACAGAGGTCCGTTGCTTCGGAATATATTATCCAACGGAAAATATTATCACAATATCGCAGCTCGTTCTCAACACAGTTCATATTATCATCTGGACCAGGTGGCCACATCATGTAGCAGTGCGTAAACGCGTGTATGTACAGTGGCAAAAGTTTTGCAGGGTGATATTTCATGCATTTTTCCCCGCAGCTACACTATGGCTTGGATGTCCGATTCCAAAACGCTTTTGTTTGCTTATGGAAACTAATAACAGAATAAGTCTGGCCATTCATTACGATGTATATAAAGCATTCCAACGACACGTTGCTTGAGGATCTCATTCCAGGCCTGCACCACCACAGTTTATGGTGCTGCCCCAAACGCCGTCAAACATTCTTTTATTTGATGCGTTTTTGCTGGCAAAAGCAACTGCAGTCCATCAATTAGATGAGCCGGATCCATTTGCTCCAGGCGAAGGCAAGCACGTAACACACTGTTGCTGGGCCGATCCTCTTCTGCGCCACCATTAATCAAAGCAAGCTTTCAGCCGGTGTCGAACGCTGAAGCTGCATTCAGCTGTGGTTGGGCTGGCGGGCATGGGCATGGAAAGACAATCAAGTTTGACAACTTCAGGGATAGGTTCCCGCGCGTTGTAGCCCACATTGCGGAGAAGAAAAAAAACAGGGGAAGAGACGTAAATGTATTCACCAGCGACTATATTTGCTCCCTCGGCAAGTGGCAAAGGGTAGATCCGTTTGGCTCTGTAGTGGCGCTGCTCCTGGTCGTTTCCGTAGGGTTGGTATACGCAGCTTCTGCGCGACCTGGAATAAGACTGCTACCAGCTTGAAAAGAGTAAAGAAATGAATGAATGGAATTGGGCCTCTTCCGGTAACATAAGTGACATGCTGCAACGCAGTAAAGTTAAGGCAAAGCACACTTTAAATATACTCCTGTACGTCGTATGGGTTGAAGAACCGTGCCCGACTGATGGGGGACATCTGTGACCCTTTAAAGATTTTCTAACGCCGTAAAAATACAAGGCCGCAATACCCGCGAAATCTTTAGAACCAGTTCGTCAGGCTCGTAGCCAAAATCTTCCTCGCGACGGGTCAGATATAAAAAGTTGTCTTAAGATACACAGCGTATCATGATTGTATCTGATTGGCAAAACTGCAGAAAATGCGGCTCCAGTCACTCAGGGATAATATTCTGAAATGGGTGCCTGCCAGTCCGGCCAGTCATTGATTGCCGGAATGCTCCCTGAAAGCCATTCCACTGCAGGTTACAAGGCTATAGAATGTTAAAGATCAAACACAGGTAAATACAAATGAAACACAGAACGGAATACTTTTGCAATATACACCAAGCCTGTCCATATTTCAACAAGTTATGATGGGTCTAACTTTTTGGCTGTTACCTCAGACTAGTCTCGGCCAGCGCAGTGACTTGGTATGAACTTCAAAATTGCCCCGGGTACAACATGGATGGTACTAAAAAAGGTATTCACAATTCCGCACCGCTGCGTTTCGTTGTTTTTTAAATTTTGGTTTTGTTCCGTTTTAGCTCTTTGCTCAGCCCCGGAGACATTTAGAGCAAGGATTTCTGCCCCCTCGGCCATCATCGTCGTGATTAGGG